GGGGGGGGGGGGGGGAGATGGGCGCGAACGTGGGCATGCTGGAAGGGGGGAGAGACGGGTGCGAAAGCAGTGTGGTATAGTGGTTAAGAGCATGGGACTAGGACTCAGACGACCTGGGTTCTAGTCCCCACTCAGCCATGGAGCCAACTGGGTGACTTTGGGCCAGTCACAGACTCTCAGCCCAACCTACCTCACAGGGTTGTTGTTGTGAGGATAAGATGGAGGAGAAGAATGATGTAACTGCCTTGAGCCCTTTGTAGGAAAAAGGCAGGATATAAATAAATAAATAAATAAATAAATAGATTTTTGGCTTCTAGACTTTTACATCAATCCTACAATGTAGCCTTTCAAAATTAAGGTGAAGCATCTCCCCATACACCCACTTTTTATATCTGGACATTAGGTGTAACTGGGTTCTAACGGCTGAACAACCATTTTTACAAGATAGATTGTCTACCACAAATAAGCTTCCATAAACAGATGTCAACTGGACCAATAACAACTAATCAGTCTAGGTATTTGAATGGGAGAGCCCTCATAGCTTGGGAAAGTTGACATATTTTGCCCTCTCCAACTAAAAGGAAGTAGATGTGTGTGAAGAAGCAACAGTTGGGGTAGTTTTAGAAAAGCAAGAGATAAAAGCAGAAGTGGTGACTGAAGGTACCTTATGGTGCAGGGCTCTCTCTCTCTCCCTCTCTCTCTCTCACTCTGTAGTAAACTTAGATGGGACTGAATTCCTGCTACTGAGCAAGTGTGCGTGATGTTTGCACTGCCTGCATATTTATTAATGCAAGTAATACAGCAAGTGTTACGTTGCGTCTCCAGTGCTTTTTTTTCTCCAAAGGAAATCAAAATATGGCTGATTTCAGCCAGACTCAATTAAGCCACTGGCAAAATTCTTCCTGGATTTCTTGGAGTCAAAATTTTAACCTAGGTATTAGCATTCCACTACCCAGAGCAGATGACCAATTCACACACTTCCGTACACTTCCTGCAAAGAAACCAATAAGCACAAATCTGGTACATAGATCAGTGCAGGTGGGAGAGGGAGGGAGAGAGATGAAGAGCAGGTGGCCAGGAGTACAGAGCTGTGCCACACTGGGATCTCCTCTTGGGCAGAGCCTCAGAGGCGAGGCCCTTTTCTTGCAGATGCCGCTAAGGGTGGCAGCCTTAGGTGGCTTCTAAACAACAGATACCAGAGGGCACCACCCATTTGGGCCTACATCTGTGCCCTCCGCAGAGCAGCATGTTTCCTGCTGCCCCCATCACTTGCCATAGCAGGTCCCTCCTCAGTTTTGGTAGTGAGAGTGCTGCCACCAGGGAGAGAAAGGAAGGGGAGCAGTCGCCCCCCTCTTGCAACCACTGTAGAGGTGATGTTGAAGGGGGCCACATTGGCCATGCCTTTTCAGCCAGCTGTTCTGGTTTGGGCATTGGGGGCTTTTTTGGGGGGGATTTATAGTTGTACTTTATTGCTGCTTTATATTATGTATTATACTATTTGCATAACATATTTATGTTTTGATTTTTGCATTGCTTTTGTAAATAACAAAGTAATAACAAAGTAAATAACAAAATACAAATATTTTGTATTTTTGTTTTGATTATAATATTGTATTTTGTAATTGAATTTGTATTATTTCTGTTTGAATTATCTCTTGCAAGCTGCCCAGAGAGCCCTATGGGCTATGGGGCAGCATACAAATGTGATGATAATGATGATGAGTACCTGTAACCCATGTCTGTTCACAATAGATTCACACCTTTCCCCTCCTACACAGAACTGTTTTCTACATAGAAAATGCATAATACATGAAGGATCCCTTAGTTATCCACTCTTAGTTATCTCATTGTCTGCTGAGTAGCCCCTGAACCCTGTACCCTCTTGCAAATCAATATCCTCATTTATAGGAAGCTGAGAGCTTCTGGATGCTTGTGAGGTCCCCTCAAGAACTTCATTGCTTTCTCTTAATCTCCAGCTGTGTTTTGTTTTGAACACGGTTGCCTCAAGACTTTCTGCTGTGTGAGGCAAAGGACAAGATGGGTATCCCTCTCCATTCCAGGCAAAGAAGCCAGCCAGAATGGCCGTGGACTCTTGCATCAGCACCAGCAATGGGAAAGCACCTTCCATTGTGCCTGGGGCACCAGGATAGTTTAGGGAATTCAGGACTGGTCACAACACACAGACAGTCCTGTCCTCTAATGCCGTGCAGCCACTGCCTGCCAGTTAGCATCTGCTGCCTGGGGCAGCTGCCTCACTCTGCCTCATGATAGGGCTGCCCCTTTCTCAAAGAAACTTCTGTTGAGAGCCTTTTTCAAGTTGTACTTCAAACCCCAAACATAATTATACCACAGATGTCCTTTGCCCATCGGTTTATTGACACACCAAGAATTTTAATCACTATGCAACAACTTGCTAAAGTTCAATAAGGCTCATGAGGATTTGTGGAGCTATATGTAATCTAATTTATGATTTCATTGCCTGGCAGTAATGGGCCATCTGTGGTCCTATTCTACACTTTGCTCCATCTTTGCTTTTAATGTTTTGCTTAATAATTTTTTTCTGTTTAATCTATCCAGCTTAGATTTATAGAGCAGATGAAGTTGCAGACTTCATTTAATATCTGTAAACAAATGGTCCTGGATAACTTGTTACTGAAAGTAAACAGCAAAGAAGCAAATCATCTTGATTAGCTCTCTGTTTCCATAAAAGCCCATTTTCTTCAAAATGAATATCCAGATGCAGACTGAGTACTCTACATATTCCCACCTGGCTATTATCCTGAAATGACCTTGGTCTTAATCCAAAGATAAAGCAAATGTGCCCTTGCTCACGATCAACTTGGTTCTAGGGGAACATGATGCTTGCCTAGCCATAGTTCACAAGAATCCACAATCTGAATGGGATACATCAAATAGGAGAACTTTTTTCAATATCTGAAAAAAGATATTCATGAAGAAATGTGATACCCAAGCAACAGACATGAAACCCTGAGGAAAATGCATGGCCTGCGTGTGACAACAGAGCAACAGCCACACAGTCATTGTGCTAAAATTGCCACATTGGATAGAGAGGCCCTAAGACAGGAATAGGGGAACTCAAGCCCACTAGGCCACCCCATCCAGTCTCTGCAGCCTTAGCCAAGGCTCCTTGCATTCCCAAAGCTCGGACACCTTCAAACAGGGACAGGTGTGATTGTGGTGTAGCCTCAAAAAACACTGTTTCTCTCTGCATGGAGAAAGTAGACCAGCAGCTGACTTTGCTGGCCTCTCCCCCAATCAGAAAAGGGGAGGGAAAAGTGCAACCGGCTCAGGACTCAGCCGGCTCAAGGCACCGGCTGAAGCACAGCCAGCTTTGCTCCCTGCTGCTCTTCCACTACTGGCTGGCTTTCGCCATGACAAGAAGCACAGAACAAATGGTCTGTGTTGCTCTCAGCATAGAGAATGGGGTGGATGATAGGCCTGCCTGCCTTCTGAAGTCATTCAGACCAGTGGATTAGTTCCTGGAAGTGATCCAGCCCCTGAAACAACTTCTTTCCCCACTCATGCACTATGTCATTTGAATATAATTCTTGCTTACCATTTGTTGCTGATATGCTAGGGCAGATTGAAAACTGAATATTGGAAGACAAATCCATTTTAGTGACAGCTTTTAGTTTATCTCCATCACTCCAGGATGGATATCTGTTGATGGTCACCTCCATCCTGTGAGAGACAGGCAAGTACTGGAGTACCTACAAGTATAAGCAAAGTTAGCATTCATTACTTGTATTCAAAGCAGGAGGAGGAAAAAGAAGCAAATGCAACTTTCTTATACAAACATAACCTAAATGTTTCCTCCCAAGGAACCATAAAAATTGTGGTATGTGGGATGCTAAGAGGAATTGACTGGGATTTCTGGCCTTTTCTCAGAAATACAGTCTGTTGGGTTCTCAGGCAGAAATTCTGAAACATGCTTTTGGCATCACGTCTTCAGGAAAAGATGCAGCATCTACTGTTCTCTGTTGCTTCTGAGAATGTTGCCTAATATTGTTGCTATTCATGAATGGAGTTGAAAATATAACAATGTTGTTTTTGACAGGAGGGTCAGAAGCTGCTGCATGTGCTGCTCTGGGGCTGTGAGTTAGTGGTTTGCTTCTGGTTTAGTTTTCCTGATCTAGCGACCAAAACCACTTTTGTGGAATTGGTTGCCAGTGACTGCAAGGAATACGCCCAGCACCTCTGCAGAGGCACCTCATCAAGACATGGGATTTAGTTCTGATTCAGGTGAGGAAGAGGTGGCTGAGAGGGCTGAGGCAGCAGGTGGTGTTAGGTGGAAATGTTCTTGATAGCTTTGAAAGCCATTCTGGAACTGTGGGAAGGAAAGAAGGAGGGAGGGAGGATTGGCGGTTTCAGACCACAGGGTTTGGCATTGAAGGAGGAGGAAGCAGCTGTTTTAGCACACCAGTCAAAGAGACTTGCTTCTCAAGAAACTTCTTCAGTAAAGGATCCACTCCACTAGAAGGGGATGGTTAGCACAGCTAGTTGGAAAGGGAGGGCTGCAACCTTTTCCTATCAGCCTGGCATCAAGGTTCTTTCCATAAGCTGCCTTATTTACAGAAGATAGCTATTGCCATTGCTGAAGCACCTAAGAAGCACCAGTTTAAAGCTCTTGCCAATAACAAAGCCTTAAGGGAGGCATTTCAAGCATTCTGAATAGGTGCGAATTGCACAAAAGCCAAGAAACCACCAAACAATGAGGGTATGGGGTCAGGAAAAGTGGTCATGGCCATCTGAGCAAAGTAAGAGAGCTTGACTGGATCTCTGGAGAATGAGGGTTGCCTCTGAGATTTTCCACCCTCAGACTAATATATGGAACAGTACATTAATAGCTATAAAATAGGTTTTACATGGAATGGTGAAAATCTATGCTCATTTTAGAATGCAGAAGCTTCTTATCAGAAGCTCACCAACTTACTGTTAGAAGCTCGCTAGTCTACCTTTCAGTTGAATAGCTATTCAGTACTGAATAGAGAACATATTCCTTGAATAAGATGAATCATTTTTTAAGCCATTAGGACTACGAGCAAGAATTGTTTAAGAAATTATATTGCCTGTTATACTGTTAGGATCTAAAATTATTTAGCGATACTCTGTTTAGCAAGGAAAGTATAGCAAAATGGTTTATATCCCATTTTATGCAAGTTATATTTTGCTGTGATCTGAAGTGGTCATTTGTTTTTGGAGTTTCTAAGAACAAATTAAAAATGGATCAAGATTTTTTCCCTTTCTTAATTCTTGTCAGTACATAATCAAAATGGAATCCTCTGAAAACAATTTCCGGTGCATGCTTTGTCTGAAGAACATAGATCAGCTATGAATAGTTAACTGGCAGCCCAAGGCTTCCTAAATGCTGGAACTGTGGTTTGAAGAAACTCCACAAGGGCCAAATCCATAACAACACTATAATAAGTACCAAGTCTTTTAACTCTAGCCTATTCACAAGTGGGGAAGAACCATCTTCCAAGGGACAGAATTAAGGTTTGCAATTCCAGCTTTCTCAGTGAAGGCTCACCATACTTAAAAAGGACCCAGACTTCTCACTGCCACCACCAAAGGCAGAATTTTAAACAAGAAAACATATTCCTGCTCAGAGTACCTCTGTTCCAGTTGACAAGTGCTGATGATGTATAGTGGGGGATCAAAGTTTCCATCAAGCAGCTGGTAATGATAATCTTACCCGGAGATAGTTGTGGATGGCCTTAACCGAGTGCCAATGACATATCAGCCATTGTGTGTAAATAGTCAGGTCTTCCCAGGTGACTAAATTTGTAGGATTCCCCTTTCCAGTTAGGAAGTTTTCCCGTGCAACTGAAAGTCTTGCAGCTCTTTGAACAGCATCATCATACTCCTGCATAATGTGAGCCACTTGTTTCTACAGAGAGGGTAGGAGGGAAAGAGAAGATCTTTTTCCGACAAAAGATGAATTAATTAGCTATACCAGAAAGGCTTAAAAAGTTTAGCTTTTTTCTTCCTCCACCTAAGTGTGACAATGTGTTCTTAAAGATATGTTTTATTTAACCTTTTCAAAAGGATTCCCATCCTTTAAAAATTTTTTTGCAGCTATCTTAAGGCTTCATAGTACAGACAACCAGAAGGGAGAATGCTCAGAATGCCGCAATGCTTTTCATAGAAATTTCCAAATGTTGCTAACTTCTCCATCACTGGTATGGCTTATGCAAGCCTTATCTTGTTATTAGTATCCTGAGCCCCTGGTCCTAGAACTGTTTAACACAGGCAGCAGACTTATTTGGCACAACTTCAATGGACTTTAGCATTTCAGATTGCTGGTGCAGGTAGTGGGCAGGAACAGAGAAAGAATCAGATTTAATATTACTGTACCATCAAGTACATGCATGTAGAAAACTAGCAGATCAAGTAGGGAGGTTATAGCCTAGTTGTTGTTTTACAAAAAAAGCTTTTATTCCTTGGTGAAGGAAAAGTGCCAGCTTTCAAGCATGTATGAAGAACATCATACTGCACATCATGTTTACTGAGTATTATAAAACTAATTTCAGTTTTATAGAAGGAAACCTATATTCACATTTACAGCCTTGTTACAAGTCAAATGCACATCTGAGCCTTTTTTCCTTTTCTGAAAGGAATCACATGGACCTATATTTAGTATTTCTGCAACTGTGAAAGTTCCATACCTGGTAGAGTGGATAGAGCTGCTCAATAACACGGCTGTGCTGACAGAATCTTTTCCATCTAAGCATGTGTAAATACTTGCTTTGGACCAAGTGTGTAATTCTGTCTGTAAAAAACTGTATCGAAAACAGATTACTGATTAAAACAAGCAGTATTGTTTCCAGAATAGTCTATACAAGAAAATATTTTAGAATATGTATGTGGAAAAGATTGTCCTAAGTAAAGATTTGTTGTTTGGTGATAATGCTTGTTTAGGATTTAGTCAGGGCTTTTTTTTTGTCATAGAACGCACCGGAACAGTGTTCTGGCACCTTTTTTTGATGGATTTTCCACATGAATTTGAATCGCCCTATCGGGCATAGCAGGTTGGCGGCAAAATCATTAAAATGGTGCATGCAGGCTGCTTGTGTGTCCGCACTGGTTGTGATGGTGCTGTTTGGTTTGTGATACTGCTCAGCTTGTGATTGGTCGTGTGGTTGCACGCTGAGTGCTTACTACGGGCGGCGACCATTATGTTTCATTACACAGTGTTGGTGTGTGTAGAGTGATTGGCTATGTGCAAAAGGTAAATAATTTCTTTATTTTAAAAAACCGTTGGTGAATTGAAAATCTTTTTTTAATTTTTAGTGTAAAAGTGTGACCCCAAATTTAAAAATGAAAAACATTACTAATTCTCAACCACCGGTCCTGCTAATAAAAAAGCCAGAATATTAAGAAATGAATATATATTTTTTTTAATAAAAGATTAACAAGATGTGAGTTCCGGCACCTTTTTTTTTAATACAAAAAAAGCACTGGATTTAGTTGTTTACACATTTAAATTGTAGTTGTTTTAGTGAGAAGATAGCCAGGATCCAATCACTCACAAATCTAGTTCTGTGAGATGAAGAAGATTTTCACCTTGTTCTAGAATAGTACTGCAGCCCTAATCATAAAGCTACTGTTGAAACTGAAGGGAAGCTGAGCCCTGGGGCCAAATCAGGCCCTTCTGGAGTCTCAGTGCAGCCCTCTGGGTTCTTTAGATGGCCATGCCCTCTTTCTCTTGATGCCACTTCTGCCACCAATGATCATTTGAGGGAGTCATAGCTTTTGTGCAGTTTTTTCTCCTTTCCAAAAGCCTGAAAAGCCTCTCTTAAGGCTTAGTTAGTAGCAGTAAGCATTTATTTGTGCTTTTTGCCCCACCCTATTTGTCTTCACCAGTCAGTGCTAGAGGAGATCAACCCAGACTGCTCTTTAGAAGGCCAGATAATGAAGATGAAACTCAAATACTTTGGCCACCTAATGAGATGGAAGGACTCCCTGCAGAAGAGCCTAATGTTGGGAACAACAGATGGCAAAAGAAAAAGGGGACGGCAGAGAATAAGGTGGCTAGATGGACTCACTGAAGCAGTTGGTGTGAGCTTAAGTGGACTCCAGGAGATGGTGGAGGACAGGAAGGCCTGGAGGAATGTTGTCCATGGGGTCGTGATGGGTCGGACACAACTTCGCGACTAACAACAACAACATTTGTCTTCAGCTCTGTCAACCACTGTATTGCAGCCTGAGAATTTCTCCAACACTGAATTTGATCCCCTGGCTAAAAGAGTTGCCCACCCTTGTGACAGAGAATGAGGAACACATGTGCAAAGGGGGAAGAAGAAAAAATCACTAGACCAGCACAAGTCCTAGCTTTCTTATGTGAACCTAAGCAACTCTTTGGAACTTACATTGTTTTCTTCTGCTCTGGCATGCAAAACCTGTGAGAAATGTACATGTAGCCAGTTTCTATGTAATGTGAAGAACAAACATAGAGAAAAGCAATTGTTATGCATTCCCCATTTCTCCAAAGTATGAGGATACAGAGAAGCTGAGCTACAGGATTTAGTTTCCTCCAGATGACAGAGAGAGCAGCATAATGGAAGTAAAGAGAATCCTACTTCAGGAAACACAGCAACTAACCCTGCATCAGAAGTTAGAAGCTCTTAGAACTTTTTTTGATCAAATTCAGCTAAGAGCTCCTAAATAACTATGCCTCCTACACACACACGCGCGCACACACACACCACTTTTTGCTCTATTCAAATAGAATTTGCCTTTTTTTCTGCCCTCTACAACTGCTTGAAGAACCTTGACATTACATAGCACCCTGGGAAATAGGTTTGAGCATTAAGCTACATTAATTATTAGGTCCTGTCAGGGAAATAGTCACTGCTTATCCCTGAAAGCTGGCAAGTAATCAACTGAACAAACAGTGTCAAATTGTAGTAAGCTTATGTTCTCACCATCTGCTACATGTAGACAGGTTATGCTTTGTTACCAACTGAAACTAACTAATGAGAGTGGCAAAATGGGTTTGAACATGTTTGGGATCCACTGACACTGTTTGCAAGAAGGCTCTAATACAGCTCTGGTGCAAAACACATAAAATGGGAGCGAAGCATCATTTAAAGATTTAGTAGCCATAATAGTAATGAGAGCAAATTCATGCTGAAAATTGCTAAGCAAACCTTCAAATCATAAAAATGGCAAACATTACCTGATGCAGTAATAAAGGTAAACTTTCCCATGTATATTCTCTTTTTAGACAGCTGTCTAGCTCCCTCTGCATGACTTCAGCTTGAATTACAAGAGGTTTTGCATCTGCTACCTGTAAAAGGCAGATAGAAAGACAAAATTAGGCAGCTCTGAAGTGAAATGTTCTCTACATATCCTAAGCACCTTTGATGAAGTGATTTGAGTATTACAGGTGTCAAAGGAACTTCCACTGACTACCAGATCCATTCTGGTCTAAAATTGAGAGCCCCAAAAGTGGGGAGGGGTGAAGTTCATTTTGATATAGTCTTTACTAGAAATTTCCTTCTCCTTTGTCAGTCTAATATCAATTGTGAACCTATAGGACAGGAGACTTGCTGCTGACAGGAAGGATGAGGAAAGTAATCCTAACATGGTAGCCATGTGTTCTACTTTATAAAGTGCATTCTTTGCTTTGAAGGTCTGCCAAAAGACAGTCCTCTATTTGAAGGACTGCCAAGTCTAAAGCCTGTTGAAAATAAAGAACCCTAAGAAGGAAAGAGTGCAAGGGCCTTGAAGTTATCTGTCAATAGTTAGCACCTGGATGGCAGACAAATGCACAGGCACACAAGTCATCTGGTTGGAGTCTGCCCCACTAGATGTACTGTATGTCTACTTAAATATAGTAATTATTTCTGCACCTATAAATCAGCATATGCAAATTTTTGTATAAATGGGAACATTGTGTGAACTTGGATCAGCTTTTTTCCTGTTTTCGGTGATGCCAAAGTGGGCATTCTAGGTGGAGTTGGAGACCGTGTGGTGGAGGAACTACAGCTTCCTAAGCCTGACCAGGTCATTGTGGCCAGAGTGGCAGATTGGTGTGGTGGTGTTTATGTCCACTGCTTCCTCCATGGTTTCTTTTTCCTTTCCCACTGATACAAATGGGATGGAAAATAACAATGCTAGCTCCATGCTGGTGTAGTTTGCAGCCCTGATCTGTAGGTATATAGGAAAATAAACATGAGATAGAAGATGGCAGTTTGAGCTGCAGTTTGCTTTGGTGATTCTTTTAGGATATGTTCTACTGGAACATTTCACAGTGATGCTTTCATCACTTACCTGTAAACATTTCTTCAGTGCCAACTCCCTTTCTTTTCTGAAATAGTCAATGTCTTTTGGAAGGGAAACAGAGCTATGAAAGAATACAAAAATAGCTTTAGACAAGTCCTAGACTTAGCATCTAGAGTTTAATATATTAGTGATTTTTAAAGTCTAAGAAATCTGTATCATTGATGTCAGCACTCTCCATAACATAAGACCTTTTACAATCAATTCAGCTCAGAGCTCATGCTCACTGCCATCCTGTCTATGATAACCGTCTTAGTTCTGCCCATTGGGACTTTCTTGCTCATAGCAAAATGGTCATCTGACTTATACATTAACTGCAAGAAAGGCAAATACTGGAGTACTTATTGGATTAATGAACATTTATTTATTTAACTTATTTAAAACATTTATATGTTGTCCTTTATGACAACATCTCAGGACGGCTTACAACATGCAGCACATTTTGTGGAAAGTTGCTGAATTGGTAAATTGATGCCATAATGGAATTAAACATTTTGAACAAAATGGCACTTTAAGCAGAATCCATTTGCTGCTTTAACATTCTAACAGTGTAATCCTATACATGCTTAGACCAAAAACAGAACAAAACATTCCGCCCACCCCACTGCAATTCCTAACATATACCAACTGGGGAATGTAGAAATTGTAGGACTGTTTCTGTCTAAACATTCCTAAGATTGCACTCTGATTCACTGATCTTCAGATGGTTACACCATTTCACACAACTGGGTCATGACCTTACCTAAGGGGAGGGGGTCACATAAACATAATGTCAGCTATTTTTTGGAGAAAGAAAAGCAAAAAGAAAAAAAAAAGATGGAGAGATGGGACAGGGAGGTAAAAAGAGGCTGACCGAGAAGTTGAAGGGGAGAGGGGAAAAGGGGAAACAAACAGAACCAAATGGAATGAGAAGGTAAAGATAAAGTGAGTAAAGTTAAAATGGCACTCAAGCTGAAAGCTGGAATTAAAGACCAAGACTGAAAAGACTGAAAGCCACCACCCTATTATGCTTGTCAAAACTGGAAAAACCAAGAACACTGTACAGAGGATGATGCTTGAAAGGCATCAGTGCTGAAGACTTTGTTCTTGGGTTGCATGGAAACAGAGCTATAAGCAGATTCCTTCTTGAAGGAAGCAAATATCTTTACCAGTGAGGTGCTCCCTGTAGGACCCCATTTCCTTCAATTTCTGTCTTCAGTTCCACCAACTGTACAGCTAATTCCTTTTCTACTTGCTGGACCCTCTCAGTTGAAGAGATCTTGTAAATTTCATCCATTCTGTCTTGTATGATAAAAAGAAACAGATGAGATGATAGTCCGACATTCATTTTCAGTAGTAAGCATAGCTGTGAAATCACTGATTTCTAGAAGCATGAGCATAAGTATATATCAAAATTAGGGGACCAAGGCAGAAATCAGTAATAATTTATGCTGGATATTTTTTCTTGTGGTGTAAGAACTAAAACATCAGATTTAGTTATGGATTACTGTTAGTCTAAATGAATTATCATAAGTACAGCTTCAAGCTAACCATATATTTATAAAATTGTATATACCACCTTTCTACACACAAAAATCCCTCAGATTACATCAATTATCACTGCATAAATTAAGCTGATCTGGATTTTAAAGTCCTCTGTTTACCTATAATCAGAAACACTGAATTTTATGCAAGTGAAGGGTCAGCAATTGATATGCAATATTATCAAGAAAGATGGAACTAAGGGCTCAAATTCTTCTTCTCTTCTTCAAGGAGAACCAGAAACCAGGATTCAGGGAAATCTTGCTCTTCTCTGACTAAACAGTATGCTTCCTGATGCATGCATCCCACTGAGATTTCACTTGTTTGAGCAGTCAAATCAACCAGAAATGGTTTGCCTTGTGTAGACATAGGCAACCTTGTGCCCTTCAAAATTTTGGATTACAATTTTCATTGACTGCAGCCAGTAGGGTATACAATCAGGGATTATGGAAATTATAGTGCAAAACAGCTAGAGGGCACCCGATTGCTTATACTTGGCTCACTTGTAAACCAAGACGAAATCCTGGGTTAGACATCTAGCTTGTAAAGGGAGCAAAAAGCCAGGATCCTGGGTTAGATGGCACAATATAGAAACCATTTGTTTTGCTTAGCGGCTCTTTCTAGTGGGTAAGAAACCAAACACTAGCAAACAGGCTTTGTGCTCCAAATGAATGGTAAGCCAGGATCTTCAAGAAGACTGGCTTACCATTCCATTGAACACTGCTACCATGCAACCTTGAGCAAGTCACTAGTTCCAGGCCCCCTTTGTCTCCCTATCTAAACCTGTATTTGACAAGATGGGGGCACTCACATTTATTGCTCAAATGTAAAACAGGTGGTAGGTGAGTTTTATGACAGAAAAAAAATAGATGAGCAGTGTATTGCTGCAGCCACTTTTCTTCCAACTTGACAGATACCAAAAGCAAATGGGGAAGGCAAGGAGAGATGGAACTAAACAGACAGACCAGAGAGATGTAAACCAGAGAGGGTTCAGATCTCTACTGCATGCCTCTGTTTGTCAAAAGCAGACAGACAGACATGTCTCTGACTGATATGTGACTAGGGCAAACAGCTGAGCAAACATGGATTTTCCTATTCCTGTATAGCCCCTATTCCCAAGCCTGCTGGAAGAAAACAGAACCTCTTGATCAGGGATGACTCATTGCTGTGTGCAAGCTGGAGCAATGGATCTGGATTGGGCTGATGTATAGAAGGGGTCAGTAAGAAAGGGAGAGAGAAAGTGTAAAATTCCAGGTTATTATGTCTATCAATTCCCGTGCTGTTGTTTTGCATTTTATTGCATTTTATTGTTTTAAATGTTTGTATTGTATTTTATATTTTTTACTATTCTGTGGCATTTTACTTTTTTAACTGTTTGTAATTCACTGAGGGAACATTAGATATTGGGGTAAATAAGAAATGTAATACTGTACAAATAAATAAATAAATTTGTGTGTTTAAAAGAGAGGTCACCCCCTGCATTCCACTAGTGATTTTTAAGTCACTTGTCTTAATTTTTCTTCTCTCTGCAGCACAGGTTGTTGCTGGAAGAGAAGAATGTGGGGACAGAGTTCCATATTGGTTTACAGGAATGAGCTTAAGGTTAATTGCTTCATTTTCTTTTTTCTAGTCACTGGGTTACCACAGTGGACAATTGGGACCTCTTCATTCCACCTATCACTGGTTGCATGTCTTCTGCCCCATATATCGTAAGAACAGATGCCATCACTGATCTTGACTCTGCTTTGCTTATCTGCCAGAACCTTAATGGTGTCTCTGATTCTGCCTATCCTTTCCAGCAAATAGGATGCAACTTTTAACTAGTTCTCCCTGAGGTGGCAAATGTGATCAAGGCTAGTCACATCTGAATACACACAGTTAAAGTTGCCTCATTCAACAGTATTCCTCCATGCTGAAAACTAGACTCCAGGGAGGGCTCTCCCCTTAACCTTCCCATGCATTTTCTATATGGAGGATTTTTTACCTGGAGGAGACTGACATCTGCAGTCTGAAGGAGTTCACTTCAGATATAGGTTTACCAACTCAGGGAGAAATTGGCTGTCCTAAGTGTCTTCTGGCCAGCTGACTCCTACAAGTACCTGCAGGTGCTGGTTCTTCTGGGGACCAATGAAAAACCTTCTTCCTGCAATTGATCTGGTTATGTGATTGAGGATGAGGAAAATATTTAAACTCCAACATTCAGCAGAGTGCACCATGATTTCTTAGTGGGGGACACCCTGTAGCCCTCACATAAAGACATTATTTGTAAGAAAGAGAGAATCTCAAAAAGCTGCTTAGAAAGCTACTTCTGAAATTCAGGAGGAAATTTAAAATGTGTGCACAAGTGTGAGAGATAAAGAAAATCAGGTGTCTGCATGACTCAGGATACAAAGTCTACCCAGTAAGGCCTTTCTTGGAAGTAGCTTTCTGCATTGCAGTCATAACATGCCTTATTGATTCAAATCATGAGTTATTACATGTGGACCCTGAATCTTGGGCTGTTCATAGCTAGTTTCCCCAGGCTAGAGAGGTGGTAGGCAAGACGTAAATAACAACAACAACATTATTATTATTCAGCTGCTCTATTACAGTGCTGCAAAGGCATTTGGGATACAGGGAGGCAGGCCGCAAAGGAGGGAAACAAATCATTCCAGGCTTGAGAAAACAAACTGGTTTGTTTGATTGGTTGCCAGAGAAACCATGTGTAAGACAACAAACTATGGGTTAAATCATGGGTTGGTATTATGTGTGAACCAGGTTTTAACCAAATCATGCCCCCTCTTATAACCTTTTAAAAGCAGGAGCTTAAAAAACAGTCTGGTTCCCTCTTACCTTTCTCTTATTAGAGGGTTAATACACAGCCAACTATTCAAGGCACCAATTTCAGAGAAAATGTTTAGATAATTTCATTTGAGAAAGTTAATAGGGTGAGGGAATGTTTCCAATTGGACACAAATATGGCTTAGAAACATAGAAACAGAGCGAGTCAGAAGGGGTCTCCTGGGCCATCTAGTCTGACCTTCGGCACCAGCAGGCTCCGCTCACGACATGCCCACCATGTGCACGTCCAGCCTATCCTGAAAAGGAATGAAATTCCACCTCTTTTCAGGACCTTAGAAACACCCGTATTTGAAAAGCAACCAATTCTAGAGCATTCCCAAGAGCATTGCTAAGTCATCGGTTTCTCCTCACATGAAAATTAAATTTGTGACATATAGCCTGTATAGGATGCCTGCCTCTGCCTTATGTCTCTCTCTGTGCCATGCAGTATTTGTCTAGCATTTTTATTTGAATGAGAAGCCCACATACAGCTAAACCTCTAATAAAAAGGAACATTAAGGAACAATTGAGATTAGGCTATACACATTTTCATGGTGGTATCCTGCCTGTTAATGCACTGTTTTTTGTGTTCATGACTAGTAGAGACAGGCTCTGCACAGCTATTGCTATCAAATTGGTTTAATTTGCTCCACTGAAATTTGGTGGTATAGTAGCCTGGGACTGCAAATGGTCCACATATTGCTCACCTGATTTATTTACTTTATATGCCATTTTCCTTCAAGGGACTCAAGGTGGTAGAACATAGCTTCTTACCTTGTAAGGTAGATTAAATGATAGGTCAAGCTCACCAGTGAATTAAAAGACCAAGTGAGAATTTGAACAGAGGTACTTCCAGTCCTACTCTAATCAGTACACAAGACTGTTATACCTCCATACCATTGCTTCATATCAATTGCTTACTCTAGTATAGGCAGAGGAACAATGTGCATGTGGTTTACCACAACAATTACAGAGTTTAATGCATAAATTAGACTTTTTGTTGAAGTGCATTTGTTAAATTAGAATAACTGTTATAGTATTTACCAGTCAATAAGCAGTCAACTAAAACTTTCCCCAGACCCAACTCATTTTCTGCCAACCAAACACACAAGCTCTCACTTGAAAAACCCTGTCTACCACACAAATTCATGCCACAGTAGTTGCAAGACCGGGACCTCAATTATTTTCTGAAATGATAACTGATGAGTTTGTTCACTGTAAGTTAAAACCCGTGTACATGACTGAACAAGTTGATTTATTTATTTAAAACATTTCTATGCCGCCCCCATCGCAACAAAGCCTCGGGGCAGCTCACAAAGGATACATAAATAATAACAATACAAAAAAATTTGTTTAAAAATCCCCAGTGCATTCTCGGCTAAAATTTTAAAATCCTATTAATTCAAATAATTTAACAATTAAAATAAGTTTTAAATGAGAAGTTCTTAGCCTGGCGCCGAAAAACAAATACCGACGGCGCCAGGCGGACCTCTCTGGGGAGGTCCAAGTTGATTTAATAATGAGACTAAGATTTGCATTTTGAATGTACTGTATAAAATTTCAGCAGAAACATGATAGATGGCATAAAGCTGGTCTATCCATTCGAAAGAAAGAAAGACAGAAAGAGCGAGAGAACCCACCATAGGATGGGGTGTTTTTTGGGCTGGGGAAACTGGGTGGGAAGACGAGAGACTGTGACCAGAAAGGCTTCTAGTACTCGATGCAGAAAGTCCTTGTACAATCTCATTAATTGCCAGTGCACTCAAATGGAAGCTTTAAAAATGCAGGATTTAAAAGATTTAACTATCCTGAGTAAATTATTTTTTCTCCTAATGCTTCCATAGTGATCAAAACTGGTGCCACATTAGTTTTGGTTACTTATTTTTCTGGCAAAGCACCATACAGACTTTTATATAAAACACAATGATCAATACAGAAAGCAAACTTTTGTTCTTCAAAAATAGCTTATTTGCAGTTGTTTGAACATGACAAGAGGACATTTCTAACAAACTGCACTCACCACAGTATAGGTGATAACACTAATTTTCCATGAACAGTAATTTTCTGTGAATCTATTTAAAATGCTTTAAATACCCTAGATCATACAGTTTGAGAGCAATGCAGTACCTGGCAAGAATGGCAAAGTTGAAGCTTCTAAGGTGGAGAATGTAAACAGCCTCCAAGCAGAGAGAAGCTCTGTTGTGTTAATGGAAACTGTAGCAGTCACTTCTCCCACAGGTTTCTATAGCTAATGCAATCAAACACCAGAGTAGCAAAAGGCATTTGTTACTGTGTTGTATAGGCCTAGCTGTAACCATAGCAACCTCAGCACACACAGAGTGACATGCAGAGAGAGAAAAAAATGTGACATGCTTCTAACTAATCAGTGACACGTGGAGGTCTTCCAAAGAAAAGGAAGAACAAACATAAGTTGGCATAAGGAAGCAAAAAAATAAGTAGGTACTGGGAGAAGTCACATGTCTTTTGTCAATCCATCCATCCATAGTTTGGAAGTGCTGAAATGGAGGATGAAAAGACAAGTTCTTTGACGTTCTTCTGGGCTAATCCTGTGTGGACAAGGATATTTACAAGAAGGCAATATGCTTCTGCAGGGCTGTAAAACAAACAGGTAGACTTGTGATCTTGTGCACGATCTCCAAGTAAAAAATAGTTTAAGAATTTATGACCCCATTTGTAAACATTTCAAGACACACACTCCCAAAGCAAATTGTGCATTTGGTGGCCTGATGCCATTACCCTCCCTCCCCCACAATCCATGTACTGGCTTGACTCATTATGAAGAGAGTCAACTTCAGCTCAGGAAATAGAACCAAATCTGCAGGGCTCGAAAAATTGTACAGGGCAGGCCTTGTGTCCTTTCATGCATGCAGCGCTTGATACAAACCTGCATATATTAACACTTACCAGTTTCAGAGCCTCCCTGTTTTAGACACATCTCTCTTAAGAGGAACTGAAATTTCACACTAGCACAGAGGCGTATGGAATATACCACCTGATGCTCCTATTTCCTTTCACCCATAATGATCCACACTCAGTTGCAAAGCTGAAAAAATTCAACCTTCTTCAATATAACAATTTTACCTGACACAGTTACCTGAAATTAAAGATTGGTACAGTAACAACCACAACATGATTTGACTAATATCAAAATTGCATCAGTTGTACAGACACTTCAGTCCTGAAGATAATATATTATGTGAGCATATTCAGTTGTCTTATGAGTTAGACCTGGCAATGTATGGCTGTGAAAGTTGGACCATAAGGAAGACTGAGCACCAAAGAATTGAGGCCTTTGAATTGTGGTGCTGGAGAAGACTTCTGCGAGTCCCTTGGACTGCAAGGCGATCAAACCGGTCAGTCCTAGAGGAGATCAACCCTGACTGCTCTTTAGAAGGCCAGATCCTGAAGATGAAACTCAAATACTTTGGCCACCTAATGAGAAGGAAGGACTCACTGGAGAAGAGCCTAATGCTGGGAACAATAGATGGCAAAAGAAGAACGGGACGGCAGAGGATGAGGTGGATAGATGGAGTCACTGAGGCAGTGAGTGTGAGCTTGGGTGTACTCCGGGGGATGATGAAGGACAGGGAAGCCTGGAGGAATGTTGTCCATGAAGTAGTGATGGGTTGGACACGACTTCGCGACTAACAACGAGTTAGACCATTGATCCAATTTAATTTAGCATTATGTGACCAGCAGCTCTCTTCAAGAGTTCACACAGGGGACTTTCCCAATCCTGTTACTGACACGGGAGATATTTTTTAAAAACTCAATAAACTGAGCTACTCTCAAACCTCTTGCATCCAAAGCAAGAATCACATACTGAATTCCAACAAGCATGTTAAGTTCATTCTCCTTTTTATTATAATCCTAGTTAAATCTCTTGCACCTGGTTGGCCAGTTGAATTAAATGTTTGCTTTTTAGCCAGTCTGCAGGGCTGGCAGTGGCATATTTGCATCTGAGATTTGTTTAAGCATACTTTAATAACCCTGCTGTTTTTAAATGAAATATTAAACAAACAGCACTTTAGAAAAGAGGTTGCTTAAATCTAGACTCATTTTGTGACTGTTTTAAGTCTTGATCACAATTCAGGATATAACTTTTTTAATGAAATAATGAGTAAGATTAAATAGATGCTCCTAAAAGCATACTGAAGTAATGTAAACGTTTTTTGTTTGTAGATGTTCCAAGTCTTTCTTCCCTAAGTACTTCAAGAAAAACAGTGAAAAATTTAGAAATAAATAGATTTTTAATTATATAGTCACTTGATTAAAACTATTACATTTATATTTTGAAAAATCAGTGTAGAAAGAAGAAACAAGATTTGTTCAAATACTACATCTAAATGTAAGAATAGGTACATTAATGAGTCAAGCAATGGGCTCCAAAGATCTCACCAAACCAAGTTTATAAAATAGATACCCAGTTGACAGTTATGTATTAAACCAATTTTGTAACCTATGGTTCCCATGCTATATCATCTTTTTTCAATACTGACTGAAGTTTCTGAGCACTTTTCAATAGCTGAAGAGAACTTGTGCTCTTATTCACAGAACAGGTACTATGTACACTGCTTCTTGGAGGGACCACAGTCTCTTTAGAAGCTCTTAATTCATCAGGCTTTGAGGCAGCATTCACAGTTTTTCTCTTCAGTTTCTGAGCCTCTTGCCTCAGTTTATAAACCTAAAAAGAGAAAAGGCCCATAATGCACAAAACCATGCAGTTTTGTAGACACAGAGTCACAAAGGCACTATCTATTAGTCCTACCAGTTAGTAATTTTTCAAGTATATTTCATTATGAGAAGGGAAGGCTACGATGGGAAGGCTCTTTTCTATGCTTATTGTGCTGGGCTTATGGAGGATAAATTAGAGCAACAGGAGAATGAAATGTAGCATAGTTGACTTCACAATTTCTTGCAAGGACAAAGTTACAGATAAAAATAAATGCAAATTAAAAGTGAAGTAAACTAGTACTAGGCACTTGCTTTAAATTTTTTTGTTGCACACTGGACTGTCAGCATAAATCATATAGTAAAGTAACATCAAACAGTATATGTCAAGACTTGGATAGATAAATGAAGCCTGTTTATTAGGCAATTTTTAATACTATATTAGCAAACAGTAGGTGATGGGGTAAACTGAGGTATGGCCTTCTGAGAAACTGAAAAGCATGATTTGACCCTTGGATTGAAGGGTCTGCACTCCTGCATTACGGCTCATCCTTTGAATGAAAAGCACCCAAAGGAAGCTTCCAGTGAATAGAGATATGGGAGTGAGAAGAAAGGGGCTGTTTAACTATTTCCCATCTGATCCCTTGACTAAAAGATTGGGTGGCCCAGTTGTAACAAAGCAGTTCTGCATGTGTGTGATTTCCAGTGGACAAATGGCAGGAAATAATAAATATTAAGAAATAAGGAATTAAGTGGTGACTCCCGCTTTTGACAGCAACCTTATTGGCTACTTTTCAGGAAGAAACATCCACCCACCCACCCATCCCACCACAACTGGCTAGGAGGGCTGCTCATACCTCTTCCAAACAACATCTAACCTTGTTTTCTAAACCAAATACTGAACCAGATCGTTTCAGTAAGCTATTTTTATATACTACTTTCATCATTTGTGCTTTGTTAGTTGTATCTTAGCACTGGCTTTCTAAAGTGATGCTATTTGCTCCACCTGTGCTGTCAACTATCCATTTTCTTGATTGCAGAAGTGTTTTCTTACATGTTCTTGGTGCTTTCTCAGTTTGCAAATCTGATCTCCTTTAATTTCCATTTGCTTCACAAGACAATCCAGTTCACGTTCTAGGTCTTCCCGAATGTCATGGTCTTGAGTTTCTTGTATCTGCTTCAACAGTTCTTGATGCTCACTGTTGAGGACAACTCTCATGAGTCATTGCTAGCACAATTATGTTCACCATCTGTCATACAATTATTTTCTATTCCCTTATATCAGTGCCAAACTCATGACCATGTTAAATAGAAAGTGGCATACCTAAGTAGTTCTAGGCAATGTGGCTTACTTTAGAACATATTGACCATTGCAACAGTCATGTTTTCCCTCAACACAGTAGTGGATATCATTCCAAAGAGTTCCTAGAAAACTAGGACTTTGATATGTATGTATTTTAGCAAAGTAGTTTCAAATGACAGACTCTAAATAGAATACGCGAATAAGAGTTATTAGATTAAACCCAACACTGCATGAGTAAACATTGCATGAACTTATGCAATGGGATTCCCCTTTGCTCTCTTTCCCACTGCAGTGTCCCTTTGCTTCCCAAATTTGCCTTGAAACAGATCTGGGATATGCACAAGTGGCTTCAGAGAGGAAAAATCTGTTGTGGCAGCAATTTCTTCTGCTAGTGGATGGCCAACACTTGGATCCCATTGCAAAATGGGAATTCCTGATGTTACAATGAGAAGCATTTCCTTTACAGGCAAAACACATGCAGTTTAGACTAGAGGGAAATTAATACACTATTCAGTTGGACAACCTATTAAGATTTACCTTTTGCTGAAAGTTGGCAGTTAACTATAAAGCTTCTAAGTGCCCAATAGTCTTCATTTTCTAAATTTTTACTAAAACACTTAATAACAAAAAATTAATCAAATTTATAATATAGTGCCCAATAGTCTTAAGTCTGAAAATCTTCTACAGAAATGAATTTGTGCTGTTATGATTTAGAGACTAAATTAAGTCAGCACTCCTCTTATGTGGCAGCTGCTTGCAAAAGTTGGCTATGCTGCTGAAATAGCAAGCAGCGATTCAGAACACTTAGATTCATGGGCGTCTGCACAGCAGGCACTGTCAGTAACTTCTAGATGAGTCATTTTTCTTTGTACCTTGTCTCTGAGATTTTACAGTATTTTCACAAATGCTACGAAATACAGCTATATTAGACACATCTGTTTTTTCTTTGACCAGCAGAACCCCACGTATTATATCATAGCATGCCATTTTGCATGTGTGTGAGGTGGCTGCTGACTGAGAAACATCTTCTGCTTTCTGTGTTTTCCTGGGATTCTGATGGGACCATAGGAGATTAAAAATTATTCTTAGCACCATTTGTGAAAGTGCCCTTTGTTGTGAAATAAACTGAAGCAACCTGTTCTCAGCTTTAGTTTTCAGAACAAACCAATGGTATCAGTTCTTTGCACACAAGGTAGATACACAATACTTACAAGCTCATTTGCCCCAGCTCATCCTGAATGAGCAAGAGAAGATCAGAAAGGTTTTCAGTAGCAGAGGAAGATGTGGAACATGATACCGATTTGTACACACCAGTCCTTCTTGAAGCCACTTTTTCAAGTTCTTCTGGATGTTGTGAGGTTACACATGGACTACGATATTTCATGAGATGCAAAACAGTCTGAACATTTGCAACAACTGAGTGACTGGGCCTGGAAGACTGGTGGAAGAAGCCTATTACAAAGTCTCTTTAAACAAACAGTAATTTAAACAAGTTCTTATTTAAGATAAAACTGTTTACCTTCCCAACAACAAAAGGTAACTTTTCAGCCTGTAGGCATGCTTGTGAGCCACATGTTTTCCCCAAATCAGGATTTTCCTATAAATTAGAAATTAGTATTATTCCTATAGCTTAAGAGAAAGGAAGAACAGGGGTCCTCAACTTACAATATCATATTGTGCTCTCTAGCAATTCTGAAATTAAAATTATTTGGAAAGACTATGTGTAGCCTTACATGTCCATTATCTGGACAGAAAAGGATGAATGTAACAGATGTCTACTTAAGCAAGTCACTGAAGCTGTTTTGTGGTCCCAAAAAGAAGAGATTCCATTGTATCAGTATCTCTGGACCTAAAATTTTCAGATCAAAAGGAACATTAGCCTGTCCTGAGACTTGACAAACTTTGAAAAATACTGAAGCAAAAGCTACTATCTAAGCTTTATTAATTATTTTATGTAGTGTATTACATGTTTGATAAAATAAATTATTCACCCATTTCGCAATAGGTGTTGTTACTTAGTAACAAAACTCAAAGGATTAGAGGTTGAAATGGGGAAGGCATCTTAATTCTGCTTTTGCATGCCACTGTTGCTACAATGTTTACCAATTCCCTCTTTCCACTGCAGCCCCAGGTGTCACATCTCTACACTTGTCCATGGACCTGCCCACCTTTCAAGAGATGCTTTCTGGAAGATACAAAGCACTGCAGCTAAGGAGGCTGGAAGCCGTATGAGTCTGAATTCAACTTAGTGGGCTGGATACAGATTCATTGCCATTGATAGCCAAGACACATTTGCTACTAACTTTTTTTGCTTTTATAACTTTCTTCTTCCTGCTTTTCTTCTTTGTCTCTTTCTGAGGTGAAAGTGAAGACAAGAGAATTCTGTTCATCTCTAGTCCTGTTTGGAGCTGCAGTAAAAACAAAATAGTATACATTAGACTAGCCTTTCCCAACATGGGACTCTTCAGATATGTTAGCTTAGATCAATATTCTTCCAGAAAAGTTGTTGAGCAGAGGGAGATTTTTAGGAATAACTCCACTAAGATAAAAGTGCACTGCAACAATACTTACTAATTTTTTTAAAATTCTAGTTCCATTATCTGTTTGACAGCTTGATAATAGAATCGGTGATATTCTTCAAAAGCAAATAAGCTTTGCGGTGTGCAAATGACATACATTTCACTCATAATTCATACAATTCAGAAGCACCAAAAATTGGAGTGAGGAGCCGAAGGTGTAAGTGCACTAAAAGGGAACCAAGACATTATATTCCTTTTGGCAATGGGACCCTCAGGCTTTTAAGGGTTGAATTGACAGTTTTCAGCATCCTCTATCATTTTCAACACATTCCTGACTCTCTAGCTGCTTCAGGAGGAGGAGATATTAATTCCCCTCACAATTTTCAACTCTTTTTGGAGCAATTCTGCTATAGTTATTACAGTTTTTAAAAATCCCTCTAAAGAGGCAGCTGCATGGGAAAGTGAAAATGGAGATCCATGGGGAGTGGGCATACTTAAGTATTGCTGGTGCTTTATTTCCTGCATCCCAGTTGAACACCATTTAAGGTTAAAGGGGGAAATATGCACCCCTGCAGTGACACAGCAGCTAATGCAGGAATATACATTTCCCCTCCATTTTCTTCCCAGCCATTCAATTTTGAAACATTACCTCATCCAAATAATGGCAGAAAGGTTCTTGGCAGTTGGAAAAAACCTTAAGAGGTAGAAGAATGAAAGGGAGGAAATGGGACACCATAACTAGCAGTACTTACATCTGTCCCACTCAATGGGATACCATGTACTCAATCTGTTCAGCTGCCTCTTCAGGGTGTGTGTGAGTGTGTGTGTGTTTTCACAAAACCATTAGGGAACAGCACTAGGCATAGCAATACATGACTATGAAAAGAGGCTGAAGAAATAGGAGAGGAAGAATTAATATATTTCTGAAAGGGTTGAAAAGGTGGAGAAAACTGTGAACTGTCAGTTCAAAACTTAAAATTCTAAGAATCATATTTCTTTGTGACAAATACTGGACTGGATGCCAGAAATTTCACAGTGGAGAGCACAGATGGTCAGTGGCCCAAAGAGAGAGTCAGATAAACTTTGACACATCTTTCATATTCCATGCTATAGAATGGCCTGGAATTACTGCAGGGAAAATCTCAGCCTAGGGTTAGGGTTAGGAAAACAGGGCACCCTATACAGTTGCTGAGGGCTGGATATCAATTGCAAAGGGCCACCAAATGTAGCTGACACACAAAAGATCATGGCAACTGCATCTGGCCTGCTCCACTGAATGTATGGGAATTCCCTATGGAGCAAGAACAACAAAAACATTTAGGTTGTGTTTGCAAATATGGAATGCTGGCCTTTACTAATGGCCCAGTGGACTGAAAAAACACGGGAGGATACAGATGATCAGTAATCCAATGGGAGATCCAGATAGAAGCAGGTTTGCACTTCTGCCACACTCCTTGCTGTAGAATGACCTGGAGTTAATGCAGGGAAAACCTTAGCATAGGGCTAGGGTTAGGAAAACATGGCACCCTGCACAGCAGCTGAGGCCTGGAAATCAATGGCAGAGCGCCATCAAACTTAGCAGACACAAAGAAAACCATGAGCGCCACATCTAGCCTGGCCTACTGAATGCATGGGCAGTCCGTATTCTGTTAGATTTATGAAGTAATCCAGGCTAGTTTTGGAGATAAGGTGATTGCCAAGAGCAAAAAGGTTTAGCATTGTTTTTCCAAAGCCAGCTTCTAATTGGTCTTGGCAACCCACAATAAAATTTCTCTTCCTAATTCATACAGTGCAACCTTTCAGGGTAGAAAGAAACCCTAGAACAAACCATGTATGTCAGGATGACTTGTTCATGAAAAATAAGCTACACTATGGAAAGTGGTTTGGTTTTGTGTGGCACAAAAATGCATCACGGGTAGTCATCCACAAGAGATCAAACCAGTCATTCTTAAAGGAAATCAACCCTGACTGTGCTTTAGAAGGTCAGATACTGAAGATGAAACTCAAATACTTGGCCACCTAATGAGAAGGAAGGACCCACTGGAGAAGAGCCTGATGCTAAGAACAATTAATGGCAAAAGGAGAAGGGAACAGCAGAGGTTGACCTGGCTAGATGGAGTCACTGAAGCGGTAGGTGTGGGCTTGGGTGGACTCCAAAGAATGATGGACAGGAGAACCTGGAGGAACGATGTCCATGGGGTCATCATAGGTTGGGCACAACTTTGTGACTAAACAAAACCCATCCACAACAAGCAGTCATGTGGTGCAAACCCACTCACTGCCTAAAAAGTACAGCATTGTATGGTTTTTCTTCAACACCAGTAAAACACATGATTGTATGCAAACCACTTTTGTGATCATTGGAACAATACAAGAGCTCGTGTTCCTCACCTGTGCAGCTTTATCTTGTATTAGCCTGCGCTGATGTTGTTCTTCCTGGATCTTCTGTTCCAGGTGTTTGATCTTTTCCTTCGAATTAAAAAAAGGGACAAAATGAAATTGGATGTCTGATTCATCATGTTCAAGAAGACAAGATAGACAGTATTTTAAAGACTAGAACTGAAGTACAAAGAAAGAATGACTGAAGAAAGAAAGAATATTAATTTAATTAGTGGAACACCCAAAACTTCAGTAGCATCCTCAGTTTGTGTCCTCTAAACATTAAATTATATAAAAAATTCAAGTAACGTACTTCTGCAGTTTTCTGACTGCTGGTAAGTTTCCAACATTCATTTTCAAGAATGTCAAGCTTGTCAAGTTTTGCACGTAGCTCCACTTGATTCTTTTCTTTTTCCTTCTGAAGTTGGGTCTGAAAAGTGTGCACAAGACAGTGATTTAGCAGCTAGTAGCAAGGGTTGTATAAATGGCCTACAGCCATGAAGTTAACTGGGTGGCTTTGGGCCTGTCACAGACTCTCAGCCCAACCTATCTTACAGGGTTGTTGTTGTGAGGATAAGATAGAGAGGAGGAGGAGAATTCTGAAAGCTGTCTTAAGTTCACTGACAGAAAAAGACAGGATATAAATACACAAACAAACAAACAAAAAACAATCAAATACAGAAAACTGATACGATTCAATATCAGAATCCTGATGTAGTCATATGATTACGAAACTTGCACACACACGCATGCTTGCACAAATCCAGAGGCTCTTGAAGCACATGGGAAGAAAGAATAGATTCAGACATCTGATTCCTGTGTATGACAATTGGTACTGGAGACTACAGTGTATAACTAAGCCAACTGGCATACACTGAGGTGTAGACAAAATTAGACATATATGGCTTAGATGCAGATGTGCATGTAACCCGGCTAAATGCATGCACCATCAGGATTACATCCTGTAGACTAGAATTCACCTTGGGATATGGATGGAAATGCATGCCTTTTTCTACTATTCAGGTCCACCACTGATCTATTAAAAAAAACTCATTAATAACTCGTTATTAATGAGTTAAAAGTTGTATGCAATTCTGTCTCTGACTCACAACCAGAAATACTAGATTTGCACAGATTATACCTAGACAAAATGATCAACTTTACTGGTATCTTTCAGCCAAACACAATCAAACCATTAGTAGCTATGATTCACAGGATTTCTTCAACACTGGAACATCACTTTTATGCCAGGCTGAACTTTTGAAAAACTTCCCACTTTAGTGCAACAGATCTTCCAAACATTACTGGAAATATGTTGTTATTAATAGCATTTCACTTTAATTTTTAAGCCAAAAAGTTTCTCAGAGTACTCTGAAAAAAATACAGATTATTTGAAAAACTCTAGTAGTAAGAAGTCCAGGTTGAAGATCCGGATAGTTCTCAATTATACCTATTCTGACTAAAGTGCAAGATAGAATAGTTAATACTTGTTATTTTTTATTTATTTAGGAGACTTCTATGCCGCCCCATTCGCAGAAGCCTCGGGGTGGCTCACATCCATAAATAAAGTTCCTTAAAATAATATAAATTAACAGTATAAATTAAGTCAAGTCACCCTGGCCAACAGGTTAACAGGTTGGTGGTGAATTAAATTAACAGAGCACCTATTACTGAAAACACAGGAATCTGTAGAAACTACCAAAAATAATATTATGATTCATGTTCTACCAATGTGAACAAGCAAAATTACAGAAGAGAACTATACTGACAAAACTGGGGCTACAAGGAACAAATGGAAGCACAACAAATGTAGCATATTACATATGTGCACCTGCTGTTCAAGAATCAGTTTCTTTTCCACCTCTGCACTGACCACCATTTTTCTCATATAATCTAGTTGTTTTTCCAGCAAAGAGCAACGTGACTGCACTGTTCCCAACTGCGTGCTCACATCTGAAAGCAAGAAAAAAGGTGGCAGGAATTTAACAGACAAGTTTTATGGCATCCTAAGTTGCAACATTTTGCATGAACCATCTGTTGAAAGTAACATAAAAATATTTGCTTTCAGTACTGCTGGATCCTGATCTGAAATTACAGACCCAATCCCAATGCTATTTCTTCTTTTATTATGTTATCAGTAGTAGAGACACGTGAAATGCTGTGGGACATCTTTCAGGAGCTTATGAAAATATTTTCAGTCCCCACCAAAATATAACAGTATTATGTCTTTCCAAAAGTTCATACAGTTTTTAATAGGAGTAATATAATACAGTCTGTTTTATTAGAAACTAAGAAAAGAAAAGAATACATATGCTGTAAACAGTAAGCAACAGTTTTTACCTTATTCAATTACAAGTTATCAAGAGTAAGGTAAATGTTTTTTATTTAAACCACTGGAAAATCAGTTAAGGCAAATCTTTAATCATGCAACAGCCCTGTCTACTTCCTAAGCCAAGTACACATTAGGAGAGAAAGCCAACAGAATAGGATAAACCCACAACATAAGCACTCCTTCAATATTAATTTAGCACAGATGTTGCTACCTTTCCTTGCTTGCATCAGTTCCTGATGAGTTACATCCTTCTCATTTGATTCATGCCGCAAAGCCATTTTATACTGGGCAGCTTCTCTGGTCAGACAGCTCAGGTCATGCTCAGCCTGTGACCTCTCTAGTTCAAGACGATGGATCTTTTGTTGAAGGGTTTTTAGAGCTGCTACTAGAGCTGATGAACAGGTAACTACTTTAATTATTTTTTTACACATTGAACGCTTAATGCAAATACACACATAAATTGCATTAATTGGAATATTAGCTATGCTTTTCATTGCTTCTCCCATTTATATTGGAATAAAAGGAATGATAGTGTAATTCAAACCCACCTCCATAAAGAAATATTGCTAAAACTTGCCTATTCTCCATTGCTACCTTTAAAAGGACTTGGTTACACGAAGTTTTATTCATCTCTCTTAACATAACCTTGTGTGTTCTGCTGCAGTATTTGTTCTTCTGCCAAGCTAAACTAGAGTGTGTGTATGTGTGTGTATCAGGAGTGGGTAGCATGCAGCCTATGATCCACGTGGGTCCCCTGCCATCTCTATTTTTTCTTTTAAAAAGATAAATAAGTAGCAGCTATGGAGGTTTAAAATATACACATTTAGCTTGCTTGTTTTCACCTCCCTTTTTACAGTCTGGTGATGGCAGCATGGAGAATGTAGCCTACAGCAGGCCACCAGATTGACTGAGGTTGCCCATCCTATTATATTATATAAAGAAGCTCACTATAGGTTTCACTATAGATTACTGTAAGTAATTTCCTACTTAGAGTGGAACTTTCCAATCAGTCACTGCATCTTTGCATGTGAGTCAACTGAACCAAGCAGTTAAGATTGCAGAAATGTGCAATACAAGAAACGTGTGGTGGAGTGGCTAGAGTGCTGGACTCAAAAATCTGGGTTTTAGTTCCTACCCACTATGAAGCTCATTGAGAAACTTTGAGTCAGTCATAGACTTTCAGCTTAGCCTACCCTAAAGTGTTGCTGTAAGGATAATACGGAGAGAAGGCAGCTCATATAAGCCACCTCAGTTTCTTTGTAAGGAGGAAAAAAGGCATTATATAAATGTAATGTAATAACAACAACTAATGTGGAAAACAACTTCTTACTCAATGTAATATGGGTAGCAGACCACCAGCTTTAGTGTATTCATAATATTAAGCATAATTTGTTATGGAAAGTTAGGAAACCATGAGAGACAAAGGTAACTATTGTGCATTCTAAGACACCCAGAGCATTTTCATTATAATTACTAAAGCACTTCCTAGCAAAGCAAGGATTCCTTTTAGTGTTCGTTCCACCCCCAAATCATGTTTACATTATTCAGAAAACCATCCAAGTTTAAGATAATGAAATATTCCAAGGACAAGTGAGCAAAACATTAAAAAGGTGCATCCTATATAACCAAACATCAACAGTTGCATTTCATTTTCAACAAAAATAAATGGCTTCACATCCAAGCAGACAGGAATGGGACCATGGGAAATTTCTAGTAGAAAAGGCATTTTGTTCCTTTTATTATTTACGATCAGCAACATGAAACAGAAAACAGGAAAATCCAGGAAAGTGTTTATGAATTCTTATACCTATTGAAGCATAAGTATAAATTATATTTTTCTTTTATGTTTCTGGAATTACAAGCCTTAATTTGATTTAAAAAAATAACACAGATTAAAGGGATGAGTGACTTGCAAACTACTGGATGCATATGTGACCCCACTGCCCACCAAATAAAAGCTATCAAGTTCAGTGTATCTTTGGCAGCAAGCTAAATTTACCCCTTTTGGTGCTGTGCAGCACTATATTTCAGTAGCAAAATAGCCTAAAAAAAGAGCAACCGGACACAGGAACTTCTCTGGTTTCCAGAGGTCTACTCCTATCCACCAACAACAACTACAGGTCAGAGAGGGTGGGAGATGCACCATTCTCTGATCTTGCCTAATCCTGGAAACTACGCAGGGTTCGGCCTGGTTGAAATTTGGATGGGTGAGTTGAGTCCTGCATTGAGCAGGCAGTTGGACCCAATGGGCTACTAGGCTCCTTCCACGTGCATGATTCTATGATTCTGTACATTAAAGGTTGGAAGGACTCCAGAGGCAAGACTAACAAAGATGCTGTCCTCAAAGATTAACACCACACCTTCCCTAATGGTCTTGAAGCAAATGCAGTGGCTAACCATCCAGAGAGCTTTGGCTGTTGGGCAGTGAATGAATGAAGGAAGGAAGGAAGGCTTAGAAGTGATGTAAGAAAACATGGACTTAAACTAGACGCCAGTATAATATTTTGTTCATGTACAACAGATCCAGGTGGCAGTGAGGTTTGCTAACTCTGGCACTGGAGCTATGCCCAGAATGTCTTTCATTAGTCTCAAAAGATACTTGTCAGATTGGGAGGGCTTCTGGGCAGTCTATCTTCAGTCCACTATTAGACAGTGAAGTAGGGATGGCCTTGTTTTCCTCATGCAGACGTTTAAAACCAGTTCTGAACTCCTCCAAGATGTAGCAGATACGCTATCATACTTCTGCTCTTTATACTTCTAAGGAAAAGGAAACCCCTCAAAGCATGTGTTAGCCATTGTCTATTATCTTTATATTACAGGTGTAAAGTAGGAGTGTTATGGTTACTGTCTCTGACTCTCAAATGGGCTCATTTCAAAACATTTTATTGACAAGTGGCTCCCATACAGAAATGAAAAATTTTCATACAAAAATGAAAAATACCTTGAACCTGGAGCTTATCCTCTGACTGTGTGTCTTATAACAATCACAATGTGACTTTTGTTAATATGTATCCTATATATTAAGTGACTGCATATAAAGTCCATGCCCAAGAAAAGATCCACTTTTGCAGCTCTCCTGTAATAGTAATCAGCAAGAGTTCAGTGGGCCCCACAACTACCAGGCAGGTAAGCAGCAAAGACTTACCTCACCCAAATACCTATGGGGGCCCCCTCACATGACATGACAGCCCATCATTTAATCTATGGTGCATGTGCCCAGAATTCTGAATATGCAATACTTACCGGGATATGCATTACACAACTTGTGATCTGTTTTATGGTTATGTGAGTGTTGTTTAGCCCTTGCATAACCCATGATCACCAAGGTGGCATTACACAATAACTCTTGTGCATATGCAACTTGGCACCTGCAGCTGCTATGGCTAGTGAGGGTTAGAGAAAGGAGTAGAAGGCAGCATTTGAGTGTCAACTGAACCTGGTAAGATTCTGATTCATTGGGCAGTGGGGAGAGAAAGGTGACAAACATGTGCACTTGAGAAGCAGTGGATGGTGAGGGTATGGAGTGAAGAAAATATGTCTTAATTCCTCATTAAGTATGTCAAACAACACTGCTGAATCCCTGGGCTGAGCCTCAACATCCTAGTTTGGATTTTTAATTTGGAAACACTGTTCTTTCCACTGCTCAGTCTGCTCTTAAGACTTTAAAAATCCTGTGGCTTTTATTCTCAAATGTCCTAATCACTTCATTTCTCCCTACAAAACATTTTCAAGTACCCTTTCCATCCAGCACTTATCTTCAGAATAGCTGCTAGTTTATCCCATCGTACAGACTCAAATCATGGCATATGTGAAAAACCATTCAATAGTTTTCTAAGCAAATTGAGCTAAACTGATTTTTTTTTAAAGTTTAAAATACAAAGTTCTGCCGGACAGGTCTCACCAGTTCTATGTTGCAATGCTCAATTTTTGGAAATACATATTGGGTTGGATACAACTTCCTATGTGCTCGTGGGAGCACAGCCTAAGTGGACCTCCATACAGAATGTTTCCACAGGCAGAAAGGTGGAGGGGGGATGGGGAGACAGCTTTTGCTGATACCTGTTTCCTTGCCAGCTCCCAGCAATTCCACTGTTCTGAAGGGCCCCAAAAATGTTTTGGGGAATATATGGAAGGAGGAATAAGATTGTAGGAACCCTCCCATCCATAGAAGACAGACATTGGATCCAGATGCTGTCTATAAAGGGTTAGGGTTATAAAGCCATGAGACTACTCCATCAAAAACAAGGCACCACATTATACCTAGTTGTAACTTCCTGTTATTGAGTGTAATAGTCAGCTGTGTAGAACTCATTAGTCCTTTGCTCATTTGATCACAATTTTTGGGCCTGCCCTTCTGTATTCCTACATCCTGGCAACCAAATTATTATTATTTCACACTTTGCCCTGCTTTCACAGGTATCCCTCCATCTTACTATAGTATTATCAAATCAGCACACAGGTCAAAAATTAGTTCATCCCAGGTCAAGATTTGCTGACCAGGTTTCAATTTAAAAACTGTTGCATTACAGTGTTTTACCTTGATTATTTGGTGCAGGCATGTCTGCTGGGATAGCTGATGCCTTCTTTGTCCTAAGGTCAGCAAATTCAGAGTACATTTTATCAGGAGGCTGAAGGAAGCTTCCTATGTAGCTACACTTTGACTCTGTATCAACAGACTGCAGAAAGATATACAATTTCATTTACAGTTCTACACGAATACAAATTCCATATTTTCCCTTATAGCTTAGACTAAAATATAAATCTATATTTACCTTCCATGCATGAACATGACTCTCAATTCTAGCATTAGGAATAAGGCAGAGGACAGTGGTTCAGAAATTAACTAGCTTAGTGTGGCATGCATTTCTGTGAGCAGAGGATTTTGTTTCTGAGATACCACTATCCTAAGTTAGTTAAAGTAAGTTCGTTTTTAGGCTATAAGCTTACTTGAATTAACTCAGAATAGTTCTACTGAACTTAATGGGGCATTTTTTGTGAAAATACTAATGATTGCACCATTACTTGAGAAGGAAACTCACAATAATGCACAATGCTGAATACGGCTGCCAAAGCATAGACTGGGAATTATCACTGATGAGAGGCAACACCCCTGACCCTTTACCATTCAAACAATTTTGTTAAAGCTTGTTCTCCAAATATTTCTTTGGTGGCCAAATTTTTTTCTGCTAAGTCACACTGAATTATTAAACTAACTACTGTACCCAGAAAGCAAAATGCTTCAGCACAGTACAGGTGCCAAATGCACCAGTTCACCAAAAGTACTTCTTGATCAGAAACAGGCTTCTGCATTCACATCCAACTGCAAATATACATCTCAAGTGTTCATTCAAAACTGACTGAACTGTTTGAATCTGTTTAGTTGATGCAGCACTGACAGTTCTGCACATAATTATAATTAATTTTGAGCCTAAGTACTAATCACTGTTGGTATTGTTAGCAGGAGTGAGCTTTTTGACAACATGTTAGGAGGAAAAAACCAAGTTAAATCACTTGTAGTCATCTTAGTACTAAAATGGACAAAGATCTGAGTTATTCTATCATCCATGAATTAACAGACTAAATATACTAATAATGTTACTAAATACCAGAGGCTTTTATTAGCCTTTTACATTTTGACATTTGAACTGTGTAACACATTGTTCACATCTCAACAGAAGCATCTCTTCTTAACATTCCCAAGCTATATTTTTAAGCTGAACAGCAATAGTAACATAGTCAGCATATAATAAAAACAGGAAAGCCATTCTAAAAGCCTGTTTCTTCTAACTATAAAAAGGCTCAAACATCTTCGCTTCTTACAAGGCTACATTAGCAACTCAAATTAGTTGGTTCTAAACTTGCTTTACTCACCTCCATTACAGAGGATTGAATATGTCACTGACCTGCCAAGACAAAAAAGCAGACAAAAGAAGCAATATGCTGCTAGTTGATTTACATTTCCCAACTATTAATAATTTTCTTTTATTCCAGTCATTAAAGTACATAAAAAGAAAAAAAAATATGTATTGATGAACAAGATGAAGACTATATCCAGTCTGACAATCTATCTACAAATTTGTGACAAATCACATGAGATACAGCAGTTGTTGTTACCGTGCTTTGACATGTACTGCCTTTTGCATTCCATGTCTGAATCATGAATAAAATAATTTATACCACATTAGAGTAATAAACGCTTTGGCAGAATCTGTCTAGAAATATGACTTTCAAGCTTTCCCCTCTAATTCTCAGAAACAGTTTTCTTTGATTGTTTTTTCAGTTAATGATGTTGGACATGATTTTGCCACCACTTAATTAAGTCAAAGTCTGCTATTCCAGCAGAGGGAGATAATACAGTAAACTTCTGACATTGATAGTCTCATAAAACTAAAGTGGCAAGAATGCTGGTTTGGACAGGTATTGAATAATCATGACGACCTTGGGTTCTTCAGGTATAGTGCAGAGCTCATGTTCCTCCAACATGCTGTAGCATTGCACAGGCAGGCCTAATCAGAGGGATACATCTTAAATGAGAATATGCCCTGTTGAGCATCTTTGAACACCTTGCCAGCTCAACATCAACTCTAAGGAGCAGGTAGGCAATGGGAAAACTGTACTTGTAATAAATTCTTCTTCTGTATAATCACAGGACTTGGAAGCTAGAGCATATGTCTTTAGGCACATTCTTATGCATGTTTTAACAGAAAAAAGTCCCACAACAGCCGGCATTATCCAGTCAGATTGTTCTTTTTCCTGATAAAAACCAACTCAGGGATATGTTTGTGCCCTTTAAAAGAAATTACTGAACAGATAAATTTAAAAGATGCTTAAAGTCAGCTGAAAGCCCTTTGAGTCTGCATACTGGGACAATAAGCATGCATATAAAAGTAGGGAGAAGGAAGTGTCTCTCCTGCCCGGTTGAGTATACCCAACTAGACCCTCTCCTGCTGCTGAAAGTCACACCAGCCATCTAGGTCTCAGCAAAGCTACCTGGTGGTTTCTCTCTCCCTTCTTTTCAAAGGGGGGGGGTGGATTTCCCATAATGAATTTCATTAAGCTTCCTAACTCCAGCACAGCTTAACAGTTCAGCAGGAAAAAACTGGCTTGGCAGCCAGGAGCAGTTAGTTTCACTCTCCATCCTTCCTCCTCAGTTCCTCTCTGCAAGAGGCAAAGACGGGGCCAAGAGTTTCTCATTTGCAGACCCAACTAGCTTCTCCTCTGGAGCTGGGGGCAAGCTGCAAGTGGGGGAAGAGGGGAGACCCACCTCGGGAAGGCCTTATTACCCGAGATGAGCAGAAAGAAGGCAACGGTAACAAAGCAGGCCTCCCCTGAGACATACCAAGTTCCTGAAAGCCTTTCAGAACAACACCAGCCAACTAACGTCCCCTTTCCTTCGTCACAGCTTTGCGATTCCTCCCGATTCACGAGCAGGAAAGGGGAAGGCAGAAGCAGCCCAGCCTTGTGGATCGGGGATGGCGTAGGTGGGCAAGACACTTTGGGTTCTGGAAGCCGCCCGGGACACCGCTCTTGCAGCCAATCAACCCATCTTTCCTAGCATGGCCATCGCCACAAAGAAAGCGGCAGCAGGAGGACGAACCAGAAAGAGGAAATACGGCAAGAAATTCCTCGAGTGAAAAGAAGCGCCCCTCTACCTTCCTCGAATATGCAGGAAAGCTTCTTTGATTTCGCAGGCGCTGCTACCGACTCGCTACAGCCGCACTCGAGGCGTGACGACAACGCTCCCCACGCAACGGATCGGACTCAGGATGCGTCTTCTCCGCGGCCTGCTTTAAACAGCCCGCCTCCCCTCCCGCTCCAACGACCTCTCCGCCCCGTGAACCGGATTGGCCGCGCCCCATCCAGGCTTCCTGCCTGCATCCTGCCCGCGGGGCGACTGTTCCTGTTGTGCGCAGTCAGCAAAGCCGCTTTCGCGCTGTGCAGCTGTTGCGACGGGCCCGCTGTTCCACCTCTTTGTTCTTGCTCTTCAGGGCTCCGATAGAGGTCACAATAAACATTACTGTAAATACCAAGACAGCTATTTTCCTCCGCCTTTTCTTCTCATTGTCCCATCTCCACTGGGACCTAGCGGCGGCCAACGGAGATTTTAAAGATCCGTATAGGAAGAACAGGAGCGCCGGGCGCCTACACTAAAATGAAAAAGGCATAGCTACTATGCATATATTTAAAATAATGTATGTTTTGGCCCTGAATCAGCAGATCTCAACTGGAAACTCAGGTAGGTGCTAAGAAATAGTGAAAGAGTGAAGCCTGCAAAAATAGGCCATGTGCACACAACACATTCAAAGGGCCACCCCTCTTTGATAAACTTTTGGAGAACGGTGGTGCAACTAGGTAATTTTAGACCCTGGAAGTAAGGTTCTCAGGGAGAGGGAGTCCTTTAGGTGGCCATGTGCCAGGAACACAGCTAATATTTTCCCGTCCCCTCCAAGTGTCCTTTCATGCTTTACAACTGAATCTGCATTCTTGCTGTTACAACAAAATTACCGTTTTGCACACAAAGCACAATGAAAGCAGAATTCATTGATACTATAAATACTACATTTATATCCTACCCTTTTCCCTTTTGTAAGAAACCCGTACATAGCTCCATTTTATCTTCACAACAACCCTGTGAGTTGGGTTAGGCTGAGTGTGAGTGACTGGTGCAAAGACACCCAGTGAACTTCATGGCCAAGTGGGGGCTTGAACCTGGTTCTCTCTGGATCTTAGTCTAACCACAGTGGCTCTCAATCACAGGTTTTCTATCTATCTATCTATCTATCTATCTATCTATCTATTTATTTATTTATTGTATCCTGCCCTTCATAGTTGCTCAGACGGAACACTTAAAGAGCTGTGCACAATGTGGAAATCAGTAAACAATGCTGCATTAAATCAAAGTGATAGAACACACTTCACTAGCGAATTTATCTGGCTTTCACGCAGTTTTTAAAGCAGGTATCCTTTTTGACCCATAAGACTGCACGTTGTTTAAGTTCAGAGGCCACATTTGGAAAAATTTAAAGATTTTTGTCCACCTAAAATGAATGACATATTGCCAATCTAATTTTAAATGTTAAAAGGCAGTCAACATGTGGTAGTTAATCTGAATTATGTGCTACATGTATTCAGAAATATGTCTTGAGTTGAATGGGACTCCCAAAGAAGAATGCACAGGATTGTAATCCTAGTATTTATTTTTTTAAATAATATTTGATTTTAACAGTTAAGATCAGGGTTAAAGTTATGATACATACGTATGCTTGCTGTTTTGATAAATGAACCCTACCTCTCATTTATAGAACTCAGGATCCTTCGAGTTTATCTTAACCACAACAGTAAGTGAATAGATTTGCATAATACAACACAGTATAGAAATATATTTATGCATATTCTGAGTAGATTTGCATAATACAAAGCATCAGTATAAGAATATATTTATACAGGTAAGTTTTTGTATGCCTCTTAGCACAGCATATAGTAAATTAACAAGCTCGAATACCCACTTACATTAAGTATCGTATGACACTGGCCATGTACAAATTCATGGTGCAATTGCACTTGGAATACTATGTACAGTTCTGGCCACTGCAGTTCAAAAAGGATTGCAGAGCTGGAAAAAGTGCAGAAAACAGCAACTGGAACAACCTCGTACACACTAGTTTTGCTTGTATGTTGTATGTTGACCAGCTAAAAAAATAAAGGCAATTAAATTAGGTTGAAGATGTGCTTTAACTGAGTTTTTCTTACTCAAAAAAAAAAAAAAATCTAATCTCAAAAGAAAAGAGCCATGACTCATTGTCCAGCTGGGAAAGTTACTGTGCAACTGGCTCACAAAGCAATGCCAGAAAGGAAACTCTGAAATTAAATATATGGTCATAAGATTTGAGTTTCTTATTTGAGTCATTAACTTTAATAGGATAAGAAAAGGCTGAGAAATGCAACTATGCTCCAAACAAGAGATGGGTAGATTTCAGGCTTGTAAGATCTATTTTATTTTTTTAGCCGCACCCTGAAGTCTACCAACCAGAGCCAGGCATGGGGAAGAGTTACTTATTTTCCATAGCACCTCCATGAAACATACACTACAGCCCTATTTAAGCATTTGAACCTGAACAGAGCCAATGCAAGAAATGAGTGCTCCAACACCACCCATCTCCTCTACAGTGCTTGATGTCTTCCGTGTGCCTCCCTCCACTGTTGCGGACCACAAAGACTATGATGGAGAGGGATGGAACTGGAGTTCTTCATCTTCTCATATGTTTGCCTTGTTCAGGTCTGAATAGGGCATAGGATACATACAAAGCTATATGTGAGTTACCATAGATCAGCATTCTAACACATAGTTTAAATGAGGTAAGCAACCTGTTTGAGCCATGGGTGCATGTGACAATTTCACAAACTTTCCTAGGCTCCAATGCAAAATGGGGCCATGGAAGGTGTGATAAAGGTAGGTAAGTCACCTGTTCAAAAGGCTCAGTACAAGGCAGAAGTAGGGTCTGAACCCAAAACAGTAAATAATTTATTTGAACTCAGAGTTTTCAGCACCAGCAGAAACCTATTTCACAGCAATTCTAGCTGCTAATAAGAAAATATATTAATGACAGGGATAGGGTATCTTGGTAAGCACCAAGAAAGAGGTACACACACCCTTTACCATGGGTACCATATTGCTTACCCTTGTTTTTAAAAAAGCCAGCAAAGCTGAAGAAAGAACAATGTACTCCCATTTTAAAAATGACTCAAGATGACTAATAAGGACAAGGCTGAGCTTTGTGGTTGCTGATGTTTTATCTCATTGCAATCATTAAAGTCAGAAACCCATGAAAAATAGATGAAAACCATCCAGAGATCCATCAGGATATCTGCATTCTGCCCTGCTGTAAGTTAGTCTACTGGAAACTCTACAAAATGTTTGTTCACATTTTGTCCTTCAGAATTAGCATTCACAGTTTCTGACCCAAGTGTGAAAAACCTCTCATACTAATAGCCGCAATATGGGCAGCCCTACTGGGAAACACTCTGTTCTTCTGGCTGTTATTCAACAAATGGCTTGAGCCTCTAAGACAGTTGGAAATGTGATACTTGTTTAGCAACCAGCATAACTGGCTGAACATCTGCACATACTATTTTAATGGTTTCTTGAACATACCTCCTCAATTGGTTGATTATATTTTAGAGGAAACAAATGTGTTTCAGTGTTGTGCTGTTCTCCCAGCTTTGCAAAAATCCTAGTCCCTGCCCCCTGCTTTATCATATTAAACCTCAACTCAAGCACTTGGATGTATAAAAACTAGCTATCTAAAGTATGTGAGCACAATTTTATATTAACCACAATAATCTTGTTGAGAACTCATCTGTTTGCTTAAAGCAACAGATGTTTAGATTTGTGACATTTGCATCAATATGGGGAAAGGGAATATGAAGGAGAGATTTTCCTTTCCTATTGAAATACATCATTTAAAATTCTTAAATGAGAACATTTTCAGACTTCTGGGTTCCTGTGAATCTTCTGAATCAAAAATATGTGTACATAACCACTATCAGAGTTCCTAACAATAAGTTTAATTCTATTTAGTGAAGGCTAGAATCTCCAACATGATGCCTGCCAAGACTCCTTACCCTTCTGACTGTAATTTTATTAAGATTTTGTTTTCTTTTGTTTAAATATATTTTTAAACTAGGAAGCTGGTATGCTGCAAGGTCAAGTGTTTTCTGGAACCATCTTTGTGTTGAAAAGAGTGAATATGCGTTTTGGAGTTCAGACACCACCACTGTCACTTAAATTTTAGGCTCATCAGGTTGCCTTCTGGGAAATGTGTGTTTTGCTGACTGGCCATGCCACTATGGCAAGTATTTTATGAATGGGCAACCCTGTCAGCCATTCTGTGAAAGCATGTACAACACTGTCTAAATTCCAAGTATGGCAAGGACCCCAAAATGTTGGGGACCTCTAAATTAGGACACAATGAACAGGACTAGCTGACTTCTATGAAAGAAAGGGAATTGCAACAGAAAATATCAATGAGATGAGAGCAAAACCTGTCCCCTCAAACTGACCCATTGCTTAATGTCACAGGACAGAGACAGTATTTTCTAGTTGGAGCCCTGCAAGCAGAACTGGAAGCGGACATGTATTTATGGATAGGAGAGAAAGCAGCTGGACTCATGGATCAAATTCAAGAATGAGAAAATCCTGTTGCCCCACCCCAGTATTAACTCCAATTTTACAAGAAAGAGGCTATTTTGCCCTCCTATTCACAGGTTTAATAGACTGTACATTCTTACATTCTGACAACTATTTATTTCTAAATAAGAATGTAAAAGCACTAGCCTCTTCAAATTACTGGACTAATCCTTGCAATTACCGGACTAATCCTGTAACAGAATTAGGAATGCCCAATCTGATTGAAAACTATGGGTTTAGGCAGTGCTTTTTTTGTAAGAAAAAAAGTGCCGGAACTCATGAAATTTACCTTTCGCACATAGTCAATCACTGTACACACACCCACACACATCAGTTGTGTAACGAAACATAACGGTCGCTGCCTGCAGTAAGTACTCGGTGCACGACCACATGACCAATCACAAGCCGAGCAACGCCACAAGCCGAGCAGTGCAATCACAACCAGCGTGGACAAAGTATGCATGCATCGGAATCGACATACAAGCAGCCCGCATGCATCGGTTTAATGATTTTGCCACCGACCTGCTACGCTCGACAGGGTGATTCAAATCCACGTGGACCAAACATCAAATTTTCAAAAGTTACTTTTAAAACTTGGAAAATCTGTTGAAAAAAGGTGCCGGAACTCTGTTCCAGTGCGTTCTGTGACAAAAAAAGCACTGGGTTTAGGTATCCCTAATTCTGTATTGGATCAAAGAACTTATATTTCAAATAAAAGTTATTATATCTTCATTTAATAACATAGCAGTTCTCTGGCCCCCACAAACTAATTCACAAGGGGAAAAATGAAATTTCAGTAAGAACAAGAAATAAGTGTTCAAATAACAGGAATGCTTGGCTCTTAGAACTAAAACCAACAGGTTAGAAAATGTTAGCACAACTTATTTTTGCTGAATTTTAGTTTTAGCTTGGCAAAAAGGAAGAGGATAATTATTTCAGTTCTTTTGATGTTATACTGTGGTGAAATTTGATTGTATCAAACTTCTGATTGCATAGCTGTACCAGCTCAGGCTGTGAACAGCATGGGTGGAGCCTATTTAACCTTCAGCATAGTTTGGAAATTGCTTAACACATCTCCTCCATAGTCCTACAAAAGCCATTTTACCTGCAGATATTTTAAGTGATTTTTGAACTGCATCCCAAAAGCCATAATCTGCTTTTAAATACAACCCACAGCTTATATTGTAGTAATTCCCACTAATTTCCTTGGGTTTTTGGTTCTAGTTAACTATGCATAGGATGAAGTTTTATTAGAAAGTAATTCCCACTGAACTCTTGCAATTACATCCAAGTAAACATATTAAATATTGGAAAGTAATTCTGAAATCCTGTGCCTGCTTATTTTACTCTATGGGCCATAATAGTCAAAGGGTTTAAGCCTTTTGCCCTCCCCACATTTTATTTTAAATTCTGTGTAGCTTATGGCCTGGAGTACATGGCTCAGTGGGACTGAACTTGGATTTTGAATGTCCTAACGTTTAGTTCAGTGCAGTGCACTGCCTTTCCATAGTAAATTTGATCCAATATTTGTTTGCTTTTCATATGAACAAAGTAAAAGGTTTTTTCAATATTGTTTGGAAATAATTGGTACACTGGCATTTTATGCTAACTAGTCTCACAAAAAAGGAATAAAATAATTTCCAAAATCCTTGTTCCTATGTTTACTAGGCCAACCAATAAAAGCCTAATTAAGGTACTACAGCAAAATGGATTATGCTAAAAAGATTAAATTTTAATTTCCTTTTCCTGGTGAATGATATTGAGTGCTTACACCTTATGGAAATTTGTATTGTTAATGGAATATTCACGTGTGTCTGGACATGGACTTATTTAAGACTTTTCTAGACCGTCCCATTACCGAAGTTTCAGGACAGTTTAACAATACAAAATGTAAAAAATTTAAAACACAGCATCCTAAAATTCAACTAATAATAAAACCCCAATTAAAACAGTCAGGTCTTAAAACACTGGGAAAATAAAAATATTTTGGCCTGGTGCCAAAAAGAATAAAGTGATAGCACCAGGTGAACCTCTCTGGGGAGCAAATTGCACAATTGGGGTGTTACCACAGAGAAGACCCTTCTCTGGGTAGTCACCCTCCTAATCTCCTTCAGGGAAGGCACCCAGAGAAGTGCATCTGCCCCAGATCTTAACGGGAGGATAGGCACATATGGAAGGAGACGTTCCTTCAGGTAACCAGGCCCTAAGTGTTAAGGGCTTTATAGGTCATCACCAGCACCTTAAATTGGGCCCGGGCTTCAACTGGAAGCCAGTGTAGGTGGAAAAGGACCAGTGTTATATGTTCATACCTGCCAGTCCCTGTTAACAACCTGGTGGCTCTCTTCTGAACCAGCTGAAGTATCCAGACCGTCTTCAAGGGTAGCCCTACACAGAGCGCATTACAGTAGTCCAATCGAAAGTTACCAGGCCATGGATCATTTCTATGCTGCCCTATAACTCGAAGGTTCTCTTACCCACAATATCAACTTGTCTTGAAAGAAAATTCTACACTTGAAAAGCAATCTGTTGGATTCAGGGGGTTATCATTAACCACAAACTGCCTGATGTCACCAACCCAACACCCTTCTCATTTACTAGCCCGGTGCACTTTTGTCATCTTGCCAAAAAGAGTAATGCAGGAGCTATGGTGGAGGAGACAAAGCAGAACACTAAGATTGTCTCTTGTTAACTATACTTTCTGCCAGGCCTCAGAGGTAATTTAGTGGTAGAAACATGCTAAATATGCAGGGTGAGCTTGAAATGGAGAATGAAATCAGGAAGATAGCCAAAGGAGAGCATTTTCAAAATGGGTGACTTAAATCACCCTGATACAGGCTATGCCACTGATAAGCCAACATCAGGAAAATCAACAGCTATTACTCAGTATGGCTATATACTACTTAGAAGCTGTTGGGTGCTAATGTACTCATAACATGCTTGTGGACTCCCCGCTAGGCATCTGTTTGGCCACTCTAAGAACTGAATGTTGGACCAGATGCGTCTTGGGTCTGAGTCAGCATGGCTTTTCACATGTACCTTTTTTCAATAAAGCTTAGTCAGCAAAACATGCATGTATCTGGAAGCAAGCTCCACTGAACACAATATTTACTTCAGAGTAAACATATGCAGGATTGAACTGTGCCTTAAATCTCAACTGTTTGTCCTTAGAATTGTTCTGATATGAAGGCCAAACCTTTACAAAACTATTTAAGAATATTTTATTACCTTATATTCCAAAACTAAAAAATACTTTATTTTTATAGATGTTCTCTTTATAGCAGATGACTGCAAAACAGCACAATACTACACATTGTATACTATATACAACATGATTCAATAAGAACCTTCTACTGTGAAGTCTGTAAAGGTGTATACTAATAGGACTTGTATTGGCACTTACTACAGGCTAATGATGGTTTACCAGCTGTATGTAGGTGGCACAGTTACATCCACAGCTAGGGAATCACAGATGTAATGATCAGGTAAGATGACAATTAGTTGAGGTTGTAAGCTGTAAAACAACCTACTTGTGGCGAGTAATACTGAATGTAGTGTCCTCAGGTTCAGTGTTTGGACAATCAGCCACCTTATTCAGTCCAATAGTGCTATCTGATACATACTTACAAGTAAGTTTCAGTGAGTTAAGAGGCTTACTCCTAAAAAAGTCAATATAAGATTGCAGCTTGAATTAACATACTTTTTGCTTTCACCAAAATCATGTGCATAAAAATGTAAAGATTCATAGTACAGTGGGCTACATAGGTCTACTAATTCTTATTTTAAATTGATTCTGCTCTTTAACAACCCAAGACACAACAACATCTCCTAACACAAATAAAATTGCAAGAAAAGCTCTGCTTAGGGGACACTCCCTGAGACCTACAATTCCCATCCAGTCCCAACCTGCTATAAGGAATAGGGAATAGTGGAACTTTTTCCTGTCTAAACTGAATTTCCTTACTAAACTGAAGTGTGCCAGGTTTTTATTTAAAAAAATAACAGAAAATTAAAAGTGCAAAGTTATAAAATCACGTGGCACTTTAAAGATTATGCCAGAATAAAACTGTTAGTGTTTAGGTATCGCAAGACTTCGTTGCTTTTTCTACAACAGACCAAGTCGGTTACCCCCCCCCCCCCGTAAGAAGTTAGGTACTGTAAAATACTGAGGTTTTTATTGCATGAAAATGCATGGGGCGCAGGGAACACTAGAACGCCAAACCTACCTGCTTATTGTTCCTGCAAACAAGAGCAAGAGAAATGTCCTGAAAAATTTCAGTTACATTTATAGAGCTATAGGCAACTTTGAGCAGACCCCCCGAAAGTTACAGCCGACCTAAGTCAGAGTAACAATAGAGAGAGCCCCCACCCCCACGCTCCCATTTCCTTCTGGGATTTATAGTTCTGCCTAAACCCAGGCGCTCCATAATTCGGGCTCATTGGTCCCGGATACCTCGAGAATACGCCAATTGGTAGCGGCTAGCACCTGATTGGATGAAAGTGGTATCCATCGTGTCGCCTCGGAGCAGGGGGCATGGGCAGGAGGAGAGGTGGGGCTAGGTGGTTTGCAGCCGCCTACTGGGTGTGGGAGTGGCAGTCAGCGGGGGCGACCGCCAGGCCGAATGACTGACGGAGGACTGGACGTCTCAGAACCAGGGTGGGCTCGCCTAAGCTGTTCCGGTTTCTCGGCATTCCCTGTGGCAAGCCTCGTCAACGGCTCCTGTGGCTCCCGCCTCCCTCCGCCTGCACCGTGAGCGCCTCGCTTCTTCTCGCAGGTCGCGCCTTAATCTGCGACTGAAGAGCAAGGGGGAATAGGAGAGACCTGCGTGCTGTGGAATTTGGAGCGGGCAAGCCGTCTCAGCTCTTTCCTCCGAGGGAGAGAGTGGCTCCCGAAGACCCTCCCGGAGGAAAGGGAGAAGCTGGCTGGCTTGGCTGCCTTTGTGGAAACCAGCCTCTCTCTTCGCTTTCCTCTTGGTACAAGCCCACTGTCAAGAGGAGAGTAACTTCGTTCAGCCTTGCCTGCGCAAGTTACCGACGAGCTACTCCGCTATGAAAGTTGAGCTACTCGCTATCTAACGGACAAAGCCGTCTTTGCCTTCTGCCCCCTATTTTTTGCCCTGGGAGAGATACTGGCCTTTCTTGATAAATGCAAGCGTAGTAATAATGAAGAATGACAGGTGATTGGAGTTTAGTTTGTTTGTCGACTTTCTCCTCCACTTCCACCCTTCCTCCCGAATTTTCTGTGATTTTTCGGGGGAGGATCATGGCGACGCCTCCAAAGAACTGAGTCCCGAAAGACTGAGGAGCATCGTAACCGGGGTCCCTCCAAAATAATGGCTGATCGAGATGGAGAAGTGAGATGGGATGGGCTGTGCAGCAGAGATGCTGGCGCAAGAGACAGCGCCTTGGAAAACATCAGGCAAGCGGCCCTAAAGAAAAGCGAGGCGATGGCTCTGATCAAAGAAAACGCTTCTTCCCCGGCCGCGGAAGGGCTGCTGCCGGCTACGGATAGCGCTCGGGGCGGGCTGAACAAGATGCTGGTCCGCCTGCTTATGCTCTCCAAGAGGTGTCCTTTCAGAGACGTGAGAGAGAAAAGCGAGGCCATTCTGAGGAGCGTTCAGGTAAAAGTGCGGCTTAAACTGTTTTCTTTGCTTTTGATAAAGCAAAAGTAGCCTTGTTGACCATAAAGAAAAACTTCAACATCCATACAAAGTTAATAATACTTTTATTAACCCAACCACAATGTTACAAAATGAAATAGAATGTAACTTTAGGTGTTCTTCAGAATTTTTCATTAAGGTAACTTCATTAAGAGGGAATACTTGCTGATATTTAAGCCATGAATTCTGTGCTTGGTTAGTGTTTAGATGGAATGTGGGAGGAGGCAACAGATATTCAAAGTAGGTTTTACAAAGTGCTTTGGTGGACTGTTTACTTTTTGGACTGCGGGGAAGAAACATACAGTGGTGGTTCCTCCATTTTTTGTTATCGCTGGAAAATCTCAGCCCTCACTGGGTAAAAATCATTCAGATTTCTGTGGATGACTTTTGGATGACTGTACTTAAAAGGATAATTATCTAAGGATTCACATTCAGCACTGTCTTAATAAGATTATCATCTACAGAGCACAAATTACCTGGGATTATTCTCCTTTCACTCTTGCAGTAATTCTGTGAACTAGGTTAGGCTTAAAGCCCATGGTTATCTAGTGAACTTTGTGGCTGAAAAGGAAACTGCCTTATATTAAATCAGATCATACAGTCACCTGCTGTATAATCCTAGGTGATTGTGATGCAAAGGCTCAAGCAGAGACCTTTCTCAGTCCTGCGTTTTGATATCCTTTGATTAGAAGATGTCAAAGATTGTGTCTGAGAATGGTAGAATCACTCTCATTTCTGCTGTCATTAAATCTTAGCCTCTTCCCCCATTGAAGTTGATTATCAAAAGGGTTTAACTAACAAGAATGTGCTTGGGACTGAGGTCTAAGTAAATTTAGACTGCTGAAGTAAAAGAAAAAGAATGTTAGTAAAAAGATATTGCAGAGTGTTTGCTTGCAGGGTCACTTCATCTGAGTTGTGTGGGCCAGTGCTAAAGTCAAAGAATTTTCAGTGCTTTTCTAGTCAGAGTAATGCTTGATACTAACCATAAAGTATATAAGTGGAAAGTACTGAATTCGTAGCTGTCTTGTACATGTCCACTCAGGTAAATTGGTATGGGACTGAAGCCAACACATGTTTAAAAGGAATATGCAGAATAGATTATATGCCATGTTAAGTATACTAAGAATCTGGTTGGCTTCAAGCCATTGTACAAACTTGTGAAGTCAATGAGCCTTCCAAATTTAAGAAGGATGGAAATTATAACTTTGATTTAGCCATATTAAAGAATTCTTGCAAAGTTCTAGTATTTTATTATCTAGCTAAACAGAAGATTCTGACCTAGTGAAAAAAGAATACTTCAGAATTTCAGTACATACTTGTACTAAGTGACTTTAATATTGATTCAGTGTGCTTAAGGATGAGAGTGTTTCAAATATAGGTCCTCTGTGCTGTTGCTATATTAGATATATAATTCAAGTTTGTTTTTACAGGTTTGTAAAGCCAATAGAATTTCAAGAAATAAAAGAGTCTAATATTTTGAATGCCAAAATGCCTGGACAGGCAATACCTTTACTGAGACCAACTAAATATGGTTGGACAAATTTTTGGGTAGGCTTTTGAGAGCATGTGATCTCTTGATTAGACAAGATGTTACAAAAAACAGAGCTCTGGAGGAAGTGGTTGGGGAAGAGGAAATTTGCTTGACAATTGAAGTCATGAAGTGACTTTTATGATGAAGAAAATTTAGGCATTAAAATAATTTTATTGGTAGTTCTGTTATAAGTGTTCGCTGATCACAAGGTCTGAATGCTTTATGGGCAAAGTGAGTATGAACACAGGTCGATTAGAATAGTAATTCTTGAAATGAGTTACTAAAGCTTCATAAATAGCTGTGATCACATCCATTTCCCCCATTGTATCAGTGTTCATAATAGGATAGTTTAATATCCAGAGCATAGACATTAAGATAAACTTGTCTGTTTGCCTCCCTGTCATTGGATGTGGAGGACATTTTGACATATGTCTTGATCATTTAACTGTAATCTAAATGAACAAGACATATGTCAAAGCCAGTGTGGTGTCGTGGTGAAGAGCATGGGACTGGGACTCAGAGGATCTGGATTCGAGTCCCCGCTCAGCCATAGAGCCAACTGGGTGACTTTGGGCCAGTCACAGACTCTCAGTCCAACTTACCTCACAGGGTTGTTGTTGTGGGGATAAGATGGAGGAGGAGAATGGTGTAAGCTGCCTTGAGCCCTTTGTGGGAAAAAGGCAGGATATAAATTACAATATAAATAAATAAATATAAATAAATAAATCTTTGTCATTCCTTTTTGTATAAAACACATTGACACTTTTGGAGGACTTTCTTAACTGTAAGAATGGTGACTACTTTAGAGAAAATTAGCTTGACTGCTGCTGTGCATGTGAATGGCTGAACTTGCTATTAGTACAACTTCAGACTGAATAGAAGCCTGACCATCCTTGACAAATTTGAGGCAACTGATGAACATCATGAAGCTTATCTCTGTTGCCTAGCATCAAATGTGTCTGCAGGCAGGCATATATGACTTTTGTTTCATCATTGCCTTCAGTCCTCATGAATACAAATACAAAAGTGGGAAGACAAACAGTATCTGCACACCATAAGGATTTATCACAGAATATCCTTTTGCATTGTTTGAATCTGTAGCACAGGTAAGGTGATAGACCTTCACTTTACAGAAATTAAAAGTATGCTGTTGCTCTGAAGCCATGAAATATGAAGCTACTTTAGACTAATCTGTCGGGCATTTACAGCTCAGAGGCAGTACTAGGGTTGGACTTTATTTAGTACTATGGTCTATATTTGTGGGGCCTATCAATCAGTGTTCAGTTTAAAACACAAGAGAGCATAAGTGCAAAAACGTAAAAATACAAATAGTATTTTATTTTTCAGCAACTGATGGGTAATGTATAGCCATCATGACCAGTAAACATTAATAGCCTTATTCTCTTCTCTTTTTGTTTTTCTATTTGAAGCCATCCTAATTGGTAGCCATTTGTAGTATGTGAAGAAAGTCTGTCTTAAATTGTCTACAGCCCTCTTCATTAGGTGACCCTAGGTAGAGAAAAAAGTTTGCCCACCTCCTTTCTCCATGCTATGCATAACTATTATGGCTCTGCTTGCTTGTCTGTTTTCTCTTCATTGTTGGGAACTTCCCTTATAGGGCACTTGCTCAAATCATTGATCATTTTGAGTAACTTTTCTGGATTTGTTTCAGCTATACAATAGTCTTTTTTCTGTGGTTGCAACATTTCTGTGGTTGCATGATAGAGTTGTAAAGGCATAATCTTATAAATAAAACCGAGTTTTATTTCTGGGTCCTTTCCTATTGATACCAAACATGGAATTTGCCCTTTCTATAGCAGCAATACACTGCATTGATGTTCTCATCAAACTATTTACTATCTATGATAATTTCCTGATCCATTACCAGGTCAAACCCAATATGTGTGACATAAGGATTTTTTGCACTAATGTGCATCAGATTTACAGTTGCTTACATTGACCTGCATCTTCCCTTTTAATGGCCATCCCTCCAGTTTGGAAGATCCATTTGGAACTGTTCACTATCATTTATTTATTATTTCATTTCTGCACTACCCAATGGCCAAAGCTCTCTGAGTGGTTTATAGCATTACCTATCCCTCTGGGCCATAAGTATGTTAAAATATTTGTTTCATCAGCACATCTGGCCACCTTGCCGCTCACCCCTAACTCCAGATCATTTATGAACATGGTCCCAGTACAGATCTTTTGAGGATAGGTAAGAATATTGTTCACATTTCTCCAGTATGAAAACTGTTTCAGGGTAGTATCCAGCTGAGCTGGCATGTTCCTGCTGATTGTGTTTGTGGGAATGGCTACTTAGCCCTGGGGAAAAGCTCCAGTAACAAGTCCTTTTCTAGAAACAAGTGTTTACAGTCATTCTGACTGGCTTTTAGAACTGTTAAATTTCTGTTGTGTGTTTATTCTTGCAAAGCGTGGATTACATGGCGATGTTTAACACTCATATAACACATGGTTACTGAATTTGCAAGACAGAGAAACTCCTAGTTAGGTGTTAAATATTAAAAACTGTGGCTACAGGCATCCTACATAGATTACAACCTGTCGTGCCTGAAGCCCCGACAGAGACAGCACCTCACGAGGAGGTCTTGTGCTTGGGACCCTGTATCCAAAAGCCAACCCAGCAACCTAGCTTAGGGGTGGCCGAGCAGATAGCTGCACCTCCCCCTGACTCCCTGCCCATTGAGCCAACACTCGAGCCCACATCAAAGCAAGAGAGCCCCGAGGGAAAAGACACCACGAGTTCTACTCAGAAGGAGTCAGAGCAGGCTGTCCCTCCTCCCACTGACGCTGAACTTCCTGAACATGACACAGGAGACGCAGGGGGCGTTATAGACTTTTCCGTAGCAACCAGTTGTAGCATTCTAAGAAGATACCAGCAAAGGCAGGCCTTGTTACATCAGAGGGAAGAAAGGTGGGACCAAGACAGCTAGTCCCACGTGGGCTCGTGGGCTGGGGAGAGACACCACTAGAGGATTAACATCTGCATTCCAAAGACCTCAACAGAAGAGCTCGTCTATAGAGTTGTAAATCTTGTAGACAAGTAGCAATAAAGGACTTTAGTTTAATTGCTCGTGAATATGTGGGTTGTTTACATGTTGAGTAGCACCTCGACACAACCTCACTTGTAGTTTAAGCAACATATTATGGCCTGTTATGTCATGCAATCAGCCCCATAGCTACCAGTTTTCCTTCTGTCCCCTTGTTTATTGACAGTCTCAGAGAACTCTACAAAGAGAAACTACCAAATGGCTTCCACAGAGGATGGAAGCCATGGGGGCCTGACTAGTCAAAGGACAAGTAATTTACCCAACTAACTGAACACAGACAGAGGAACTCCAAAGCAAATCCACACATCTGACTCCACAGACACACAACAAAATACACACTTAAGGTTGCAATCCTATGC